AATCAAGCCCGAAGAGACCACATTGGTTACTCCCACATTGGTTGGTCCTTTCAAAGCCACCGGCAGGAGTAGACATCATCAGCATCCAAACAAAAAGCAACTTTCTTTCTTTTAAGCTTAGCAAACTTTTTTCAGGTTCAATATGCTACAAAAGAAAGAAATGAATGACAATTTTGTTTTTGGGATGTTACCACAGTAAAACCTTGAGAATTTACAGCAAATAAAGCACGCTGACTGGACATTAACAATAGTGCTGGTGATACATTGACTACAGTCACGTAGTCATTCATATTGCGGTTGCTTACGGCTTTTTGGTGACTTATTGAGTTAAGGAAAACACACATTTTTTTTTAAAAGCTGTTCAAATTTCTGGGACTTACATTGCTGAAATACGCAACATACATAGGGGAAACTGGGTAGACAGAGTTGACATAATAAGTGATTCGTTACTTATTGATTCATTGAAACAATTGGCTTTTTTTACTGAACTAAGGCATTGCAATTTATGTTTAAAGAATCCATGAATTTACATAATTGCATCATATTGAATTTAAGTAAACAATAACTTTAAAATAATGCTTTAGTATTTTTGAAGTACTGAGTAAACCCGCGCTTCATTACCTAAACTTTTTATGACTAAAAAATGTATTTGTCTATGTTCTCTTTCCTTTATGTCTCCTATATTTTCTTGAATACAGTCAACATCTTAAGTCATAAAGTCTCTTCAATTATCGCACTCGCACTCTGAGTGGAAATAAGCATTAAACATAACTAACGTGAGTCGTGATTAAGATACGAATATGCGTAATTATTTGTACGTCAATTCGTCATACACTTTCCACTTTAACGGCTATCTTTTCGCCTTGAAACTTGATATAATATCTATGACAGTGAGCTCAATACTTGATATCAGAAACATACGATAAGTCTCTACCTGTCACTGCTTCTCAAGAAATAATCGCAAAACTCAATAAGGAAAGAAAACTCAACACTTGATAAAAACAAATTGGAATCATAATATTTATTATATCAAAACAATTAATTTACATTACAGTTTCATGTTAAATATTAGTACCTGTATGATCGAGCTTTGCTCGGTATTTTTTAAACTGTGTTTTTTAGAAATTATATTATATTTAAGTACGAATTACTAATAAAATTATGAAATATGAATAATATTTTTCGATCTTACCGATAGAAAAAGTTAAGTTTATGTTTAAGTTGATTATCGATAACACACGAATAAAATGACATTTTCTAAAAATGATTCCTATCTAGAACGATTTATCACCCCCTAAACCCCCTATATACTAAATTTTATGAAAATCGTTGGAGCAGATTCCGAGATTCCAATTATATATATATACAAGAATTGGTCATTTAAAGATATAAGATTTAAACAAAACACAAATCAACATACTCTTTACAATTAAAACCGATTAGATTGTTTTTGGTCATTTTCAAAGTACTCAGATATTTTGTAATATGACAAATAAATCACTTGACTCAAAACATATATTTTATTCTAGTTAAACATATGTCTATTTATACCTATACTTATTTCATAGTAACGTCATAATTCTAATAAGTACGGATTTGTCGGTTTCCGGGAAGTAATCATTTAGCGGGTAAACAAGTATAATTACTAGTATATTTCTTAATAACTTAATTGTTTTATCAATAGTAAAGACGAAAAATTTATTTCAAATTAAATAATTTCGTTTCTAACAACCGGTTCTTATTAAAAAATTATTACATAAAAAAATTACTTTTGCTGTCAGCGTCGTATTAAGGTAAGTCTTATAATGTAGATTTAGTTTAAGAAATTTAAAATAGGGGTCTCTGAGTACGGCTTCTAGGTTAATCTTACTTAGGTAGCAATTTTATTGTCACTTTTCTAACCTTATGCAATATTTAAAAATGTTTCAAAAATATCGTCATAGATTATGCAACGTAAATTCAAACATGATCACAGATAATTAATAATCTTTGACCGTGCTATTGAATTTAAAAAAATGTTGACGTAATGAAACCATTCTTGTCATTTCCAGTAACTGCACCGTGTTATTTGAGATCCTACCGGTTGTCGATCGTGCGTTACGTTACGTGTGTATGTAACTTGCCTATTCAGCCACATGTTATGAAATGAATTCAAATTAGATATTTTTAATTTTATCAATAATAAATTGATATTTCAGGGGTATTTTTCAGCTTTATAATGGTAACCAATTTTTTGGATATACCATAGATATAAATGTCATTTTTAACCCAATAATGGAGAATCTTTTTGGTTTTTTTTAACGATTAAATACGAACGCAGTGTTGTCAGGTACAAGACATTTTCTTTCACAAATGATTCTCTCCATTCGGTTTAATTTTTAGAAACAGTTAAACATCATTCTAAAAGTCAAATCACACGAACAAACACCAGGAAATGTCCATAAACATTTTAAAACTGACGCCACACTATCTTATCTTGACTGTCATTAAGTTGAACTTACATATTGACAAAAGTAAATGACTGTCAGAGTTATTTTTAGGATAACTAACTTAAACTATAACTTAGAAGAGAGTAAGTTACTATGAGTTCATAACAACAGATCCTGGAATTTGATCCGCCCTTCCTAATATCATCTTTCCGAAAACATCCTTATCTAATTAAACAATTTCATAATGTGTTTATTTTGATATTTATTTTGATCACCGTGATCATTTTGCTTTTCCCATCTGGTATAGCAGATGCCCATGGGCGTCAATGAACACCTCGATATTCCAGCTGCTCGTTTTCTCTGATAAAAAAATATATGTTTCAAGATAAAAGTGAGTTTTTAATTAAAAATGTAAATCCGAATTTTATCCCAATTTCCTTACTGCATTTTTACAATAAAAACATCATTCAAAGGCTTTTCATAGTGTAACCAATTTGGACCAGTTCGGGCTACGTGCGAATAGTCACATAAGAAAGACCGTCCGGTATTGATAAAATATTTTTCACTGTCACGTACTCTCACAAGTTAGGTTATGAAAATAAGATAACTTTTAATCAAATTGGTGCATTTTACAATCGTTAAAATAAAAAAAAAATATATTAAAATTAATTTATTTCGCGATGATTAGTGTTTTACTTTTAGACAATATTAGGTAGAATCATTTGGCGCGAATGACGTGCATCGTTACAATGTCTAGTGTCAGAATGAATAGTGAGGTGACACAAACGTCGACATTTTAGTAATGCTAGTGTTGGGTCAATACAATTACATTTTTGGATTTCTTCCTAACACTACTAAAATTTATTTGGTTATAATTATAGTTAAATCTTTAAGAATATAATCTACATTCATGTAGCCGTTCTGGAGATACCTTCTAACAAACTATCTATCCATCCATCCAAACATTCGCCATTATAATATGAGTAAGATGTTTCAAATACGACAGGATGCAGGAGGTAAGCATCCACTAACCAACTCAATCTCATACATATTTTATGTATGAGTTAGTCATACATTTTGTATAAAATTTTGAGCACCAATTTTTTATTTTATTATAAGGTGGCAAACGAGCGAGCGGCCACCTGAAATCGCTGATATAGCGAAGTGACCGTTGCCCATAGACATACGCAATTGCATATGCGTTGCCTACCTTTAATCAACGGAGGAGAGGATGCACAGAGAGAAAATATTTTCCCTTAATATGAGACCTATAGAGATACGAGAAATATGGTTTTTACATTAACACTTTATCATTGGTCGTTTATTGTAATGACATTAACTCAATTTGCAGGTCAAGTGGTTGCATGTAATTTTGCTATCTTTTGTCCAGTGGTTTGCTACAAGCCATTTACCACTCTAAATTGTAAGCTATAAGGAATATAATTCTATGTATAGTAGCAATCATTAAGAACACCAATGTTGATTTACTCTTGTACTTGTGTGTAATTAATGTAAAATAATAATAAATATAAAATCATTGAATCATGTCTTTATATCGATGAAATTACTTTCTTTTATCCTTGAAGTTTACGATTGCATTTTATCATAGCAAAATATAGTTTTTAGAACTTTTATAAAAAGTGAAAATTAATGATGTACGCTGAAATCTAAAATGACAAGAGCGAGTTACCAAAGTAATGACGCATAATGTGTCCTTTGCAGGTTTTTTTTAAATTTTGGTTAATCGTCACACATGTTTGGAATAACTACGTCACATTTTCGTGGGGAGAGCGCCTTTACACTTGCTACTGCGTACACAGTGTTTTGGAGTGCAAACCCACGTTAAAATTTACTAACATAAATATTATTTGTTTCCAAAGCTGGTATTATATTTAAACGGACATATCTTCCAGTCAGGTTGTAATCAAATAATGAACTATACCTAAAAACCTTTACCTGTCAAACGTATCCCTTTTATTTACACATCGAAGAAACGTTTCTTGTTGATGGAACACAATAGAATTGTTACTGTTCACTGTCGGCTCTACCTGGCAGTGCGCTGCCCCTCATAAGTAATGTTGCGTCGTGCATTGCACGAGAAATGTCGAAGTCTAATTAGTTAGATTTAACGCTATCAATCCATTGCGTGTACCTTATTTGACCCCCTTCAACTTCTAAGTTTATGTAAGCAGATGACAACACACATGAGCGGAGACTCACCTCGGCTCAGAAATAACATTCTCTCTGTGATTGAATTTGAATCGACGCCGTCCGTCGCGTCGCGGCGCGGGCTACATTAACATTTAACCGGCGAGCTGTTAAATGATGCAATCAATAGATAAGTGCCCATTTAATTGTAGCATTTGCCGCAAGTAATTCCAATGCTTGTTTTGAGACGTAGCCGCTGGCGGCGACGGCTACCAGATGACGCCACGAATATAGGTGGAAATAGGGTCAGTGCTGTGTCGTTGATCCGAGCTGCGAGCGCGGTGACTGCGGGGCGGGGGGCGAGCGGCGAGAGGCGCGCGGGGCGGGGCGGTGCTCGCCGCCTCCGCGCTCCCCTTAGCTGCGCTCGCCCCTAGCATTCCGCACTCGACGTGAGGGCAAAGCGCACGCCCCGTTCTCCACCGATCGCGACCGACGCGCCGCGCGCCCGCGGCTAGGCAACCGCCATGTTTGACGTTTTCGGCTCCGTGAAGGGGCTTCTCAAGCTTGACTCCGTTTGCATCGACAATAATGTGTTCCGCTTGCACTACAAGGCCACCGTGATCATCTTGATCGCGTTCTCGCTGTTGGTCACCTCGCGCCAGTACATCGGCGACCCCATAGACTGCATTGTGGACGAAATACCCTACTCAGTCATGGACACCTACTGCTGGATCTACTCGACTTTCACCATACCTAACCGGCTCGTGGGCCGAGTCGGCAAGGACATGGTTCAGCCCGGCGTGGCGCCGCATGTCGAGGGCCAGGACGAGGTCAAATACCACAAGTACTACCAGTGGGTGTGTTTCGTGCTGTTCTTCCAAGCTATCCTGTTCTACGTGCCGCGGTACTTGTGGAAGACGTGGGAAGGAGGCCGCGTCAAGATGCTTGTGCTGGACTTGAACTGCCCTGTGGTCGGGGAAGACTGTAAACAAGACCGCAAGAAGCTCCTCGTCGACTACTTCTATACCAACTTGCACACTCAGAATTTTTATGCGTTCCGTTTCTTTATCTGCGAGGTGTTGAACTTTATCAACGTGGTCGGTCAGATATATTTCATGGACTTCTTCCTTGACGGCGAGTTCTCGACGTACGGCAGGGACGTGGTGCGCTTCACCGAGATGGAGCCAGAGGAGCGCGAAGACCCCATGGCGCGTGTGTTTCCCAAAGTGACCAAGTGCACCTTCCACAAATACGGTCCCTCGGGAACCGTGCAGAAGTTTGACGGCCTGTGCGTTCTGCCTCTGAACATCGTCAACGAGAAGATCTACGTGTTTCTGTGGTTCTGGTTCGTGATCCTGTCGATTCTGAGCGCAATCTCGCTGGTGTACCGCGCGGCGGTGGTCGCTGGGCCGCGCGTGCGCCTCTATCTGCTGCGCGCGCGCAGTCGCCTTGCCCCGCAAGACCAGGTTGAAGCAGTGGCTAGGAAGCTGCAAATAGGGGACTGGTTCGTCCTATACCAGCTAGGCAAGAATATCGACCCGCTGATTTACAAGGAGCTGATGGGCGAGCTGGCGGAGAAGTTCGAGGGCAAGGACACGGTGTAGCGCGGATGTCGCGTCGGGCCGTCCGCCACATTCCAGAGCCGCGGCATAGCCCCGCCGGCACACACATTGTATTCCAGGACCGCTTTAACTAAACGCTGACACGACATTATGTTAGTTGGTAACTCCAAACGCAACTCGACTGAGGCGCGCCGCCAAGCCGCCGCGCAAGCATTTAGTATAACATTTTAGGGCATGTTTACATTTAGTCGTAGATGTAGGTAGATCTCGTGCCTTCGTTTTTGAATTTTTGTATTATTTGTGTGCGAGTGAACAACGTTGAAGGGACGTCTCATTGTGATATGTAATTATTATTATATCTAAATTAAGTGTTTACGTGTATGAGGGTGACCGAGTGGCCGTTGGCTTATTCCTAAGTTTTAGATAGTTATCTATTGTAACGTCTTTGTTATCGAATTTTTTACTCGATACGATATTGTATAAAGCAATAATGAATTATTATAAGAAATCGATTAATATTGACAATGGTTAGACAATATTGTAACGTATACTAATAATAACGTGTCTATACTTTTTTACGGATGAAATCGAGTCGATCATGGTTAATATTTTCTGAATATATTTACTGCCACATTACATTTTATGTTGTTTTATTATTCTTATAATATAACTCTTAACTTATAATAACTAACTTTTGTTCTTACACTAAACAAAGACAAGTGCACGTTGCACGACGGCTGCAACTGCATCCGTTTGGTACGTTTGAAGACATGTAACGCCATCTATCGCAAGCACATGGACATACCGTTTAAGTAATATTGACAATAGATGTCACTCGAGTAAGTTTCCCTAAGAAATTAGAGACTTTAAAATATATCAAAATATTTTATTTAAAAATATTACTGGTGATTCATAAATTAGTAATTACTACTTTAATCAATGATAATAAGAAAGAAGGTTGGATTTGATACGATCATTAGGTTAATTAGAAATTTGCGTAACTGTTTAAATAGATAACTACCTACATAATTGAACACTTTTATACCTAACTACTAGTAGGGTACAGGTTAATTTAGGTAAGTAATCAAAAAACAAGTTAAAAGAGATTTATTTTTTGGGACCACTTTCAAGAATAACTTTATGGCAACGTTACAAATTGTTAAATTACCGAGAGCTTCTATTGCCGAACACTTTTAGAAAAACAAATTGAATTTACATTATACCTTATAAGAGACACAATGGCTTACGTTACGGAATTATACTCGCGTTTATTAAGTTTCATCAAACCTAACGGCATTCATTTATACTGAATATATTTTATGTAATAACTATAAATATTATGACAACATTTATAAACAAATAAAAGCAAACGCAGACTGATTCAACAAATTCACATTCACACATGTTTTATCTGTATTACTGTATATATTTACAAAATACGTTAGTATTGTAAAACTTCTAATACATCGCTCATATTCAAATGATTATTTTTTCTAAATAATTTATCTTGCAGCCGATGGGAAAAGTTTTAAAATGTACGCCACGTCTCCGGGGACCGCGTGAGACCCGACCTGTTGTACAGCCTGACCAGTTTGTATAGCGCCGACTCACAGCCTATTCTGTAGGGTGACCAGCTTCTATTTAATTCAGAGAAAACCATAGAGCTCTATGTAAATACGCGTATTTATATTTAAAGCGATCAGTTGTTAATGTCTATACAAACTCATAATTAATTCGCAAGTTTTATAGGTAAATTGATTGAAATTAACTATGTTTTTGAGGCAAAAACTCTCAAACAATGTAGTAGTCTGAGAAGTAAACAAACTATTCAAGTATATTCCCTTTTAGGAATTAAAATTCATTCCCCTAAATAAGTCGATCCTATCCTTGTTACCCATAGTAATTGGTTACCATAGTGTGAGGTGCGTTCTTTTGTCCCTTGTTTAAGTTCGGACAAGGGCGAAGAACAAACAACAATGTTCTGAGAAGTGGCGCATTGTGTTGAACAAGCCTATTTGACAATAGCACAATGCAAGCCGAGCTGTTTGCACTGACCCTTTGCCGGCTAACACCTCACTCACTAACTTATTAAAAAAAACAAAAGTATCTTCACAGCATATATTAAACGTTATTGATCAGACCAAAAGCATATCTTAATGCTTTATTGAGATACAATTGAGGAAAGTGCGAATAAAAAACCTGATAAAAATATTATTTCATCCACCAAATTCTTGAAGAAACTACTAGAATAATATACAGATGATCATTTGAGAAGTACCTAGATTAATTAATCGTTTTATTTTGTATATTTAAGATATGTCTGTATAACGAAAATATTGATGGCAGTAAAATCAAGCGTTTCATTTCAAAATGCATTATACTCTGTCGACCCCGTGTCACGTCACAGTTGCATTTGACGTAATGACGCGGGAAGCAAATTACTCGCGCTGCAGTCAAGGGCGACGGCAATTGACACTTCCGCCACCGTCACGCATAGATAACAACTCTCTAAACCAGCGCCATTTATTTACATTTTCCTAACCTCAAACTTGACACGAACAACACTATTAAATTGTCCTTATTAAAATCGCACAAAGACGAGAATGCTTCTATTGTGTCTAGTAATCATTGGTGCGAGTTTCATGGAAATTCAACTGAATTTTAATTTAGTTGATTCGACAAAAAATTACCAGTAAAAAAATAAAAAAGCGGTTTTTGAACATGAAAAACTACATATATTTTATTGCCGTACACTACATGAAATATTGGGAATACTAAAATTAAGTAAAATAAACTCAATATGCATTTTTTAAAATTTCTTTAATTTCAATGAACTTATTAAAATAAACGTACAAATAGATTATTTTTTGTTGCCTTAGTTTTTTTTAGAGAGTAAAAATAACTAGTAATAATTATTTAGTTCTTTTAGAAAGGTAATTAACTGTAATTAATTGTCTTAATTAATTTCATAATTTCAAATTTAAATTCAAAAAGTTGCCTTTCGTTCATTGTTCGCATTTCTGGTAATATAGAGAGAAGGAAATTCAAGTGAGGGTCCTTGTTATTCTGTTCTAGTATATTCATATACTTTAAAAAACATTCTTGAAAAGGTGTTGAATCATTTTCATTTGATTTGGCATTAGTGTTTAATGATCTTTCTACATTCAAAACAGAATAATTATTGTTTTCTTCTATTATGATGGAATTGTTGCTCTCCGGCGAGGTGGCCCTTGCTTGGATATTTGAGGTTCTTCTTTTGGTACCTCTTAAAATTTCTAAAAAACTTAACATGTCCAAAAATGGTGTCTTACGCTTTTTCACTTCACCAACTTCAACCTTATATTTAAGATTGTCTGTTTTATTTTTTTCTCGTACAAAATAATCTCTCAGATGTTTCCATTTGTTCCGAAGTTCTTCCACTGAAATAAAAAAAAATAAGTTAACCAAAACAAGAATAGAGACAGAGTTTATAATTACATCAAGAAATTGTGATGATTGCTTTTTTTAAAAACTTAATTTTTTTCGTTTAAAATAAAGGCGAAATAGCTTACTCTTGTGGTTTTTCTTATTCTCTCCAAATCCTTCCCAACCTTCATACATGATGGATCCTATATCTTCCCATGCCTTGCGACGTAGTTCTCGATCATTATATTCATCTATATTTGCATTCCAAATACATTCTCGAGATTGTACTTCTTTTATAAATTTCTCCGTATCGAACATAACATGTGCGTGGAAAAATCTCAAATGAAAAAGACCTGCTGTTGGGGTTCAATACGCTGCACCATTCGGCTGCGCAGCCAATCGACGTGCGCAACACGTATCGGCGCAGCAGAAATACAAGTCCGCTACTACGCATGGTGTAATGGCGTAGCGTCGGTTCGGCGTGAGTATGTAAGTGAGATGTCTAAACAAAGGTTATTCCTATGTAAGAAATGCTGCTTACTGCTCAGAATCGGCGGGGATATAACATACGAAATTATTCAACATTAACAATACCAGGTTACTTAAGTCAAAGTAATCTTACATATCTTATCTTACTAATATTATAAATGCGAATGTTTAGATAAATAAATGGATGTTTGTTAGAAGGTATCTCCGGAACGGCTGCATGGATCTCGCTGAAATTTGGATTGCAAAGATGTGGAACATAGTCTGGAAGAACACATAGGCTACTTATTAAGTTTGTTTTTAATACCGCGCCGACGGAGTCGCAGGCGACAGCTAGTTATACAACGCAATCTTAGTTTTTTTATTTTTTATTATAAGACATTTGATCCTATTTTTTTCACAAAAAGATATAAGTATGCTACAAACAGATTTTAACACGTGGTATCAATATTTAGATTGACTGCCTAACAATTGGTTAACTTTAATAACACACTAACGGTCCGTCTTTATAATATGGAGAGTTCGCAATGCTGTAAATATGTATAAAAACAAAGACAAGATGTCAAACGTTATGACATTTTAAATTATAATATTATGTCAATAGATGGCGGACCGTATTGCTAGATAGCGGTATTAATTTATTTGGTATATTTATCAACTTGCCGATTGCATTTCATTATAATTGACTCGCACCAATATATAACTGGTGTTTTATTGTGATTACTCGATACAACTCCAGTGAGAAGGAGACTTTTTGAGACTGCCTTACATGGTCCTTCGAGCCGATTTCTTCAATTTCATTTCTAATCAAAAAGGTAATATTCTAAATTAATAAATGTTTCCTTATACTTAAATTAGTGTTTATGTTTAGTGGTAAAATTCAGTTTTTAAGATCGCTGTAAAGATTTACGTTGAATTGTTTTAATTGAGCTTGACTAATTCATAACAATCGACGGCGCAAGATGGGATCTGTCACGCCGATCCGCAACGTGTTTATGTTGTCACGGCAACGGGTATACGTCGTCACGGCAACGTGTTTACGAAAGAGTCACGTAGCACGATGTTTTGCGCCAGATGTTTGGACATATGATACGAATATACGAAGCGTACTCTTGTTGCAGAAATCTTCCATCAATTTCTCGAAATTGTTATCGTTTCAGCTGTCTAAACTGCCATCTTTTTGGGTTTGCATTTTGCATCTTTGGACTACAGGCTAACAATGATGTCTTCATGTTAGAGATGATGGCTCAAAGGTGGATTGATGTTGCCAGTATTCTAGGTCTACGTTTATTGTACGTTGGCAGCCTTGATTAGGTTGTAATATAAAAACAAATATAAATACACTTGTTTTAATTACACAAATACTTATCTAATGTTATAGCGGATGGCGTTGATTGCTTCTTTCCTATAACCTCAAAAGAAAAAGAACAATAGATTTTGCGGTGACGTAACGCTACCTGACGTTGAGATGACGTCATCAATACGAGCCTACTTCTTCCTATATGAGTCATAATTATGTCTTTATCTACCTCAAAACTGTATTTCACAAGTGTTATTTTATTGCACAGTAATATGCATAGACTTAACGGTATGCTTAATGGCCGCTGGGGACTGCCAAGGTACTGGAAATTAATAACATATCGATTACGCTCATCTGTTGCCATTTATAACATTCTGAGATTAAATAAATTGATGACTACAACAAAAGTAATCTGATCATTAAACAAAGAGGAGTAAATGTAATCGAAACAAATGACACCAAAAAAATTGAATAGGATTAGCGTAAAGATTTCAGCGTAAGTTCATGATAAATATAATAAAAAGGTTAATATAAAATGCTGAATAGGTAACCACACTCCTAGCAATAATCGCGTACCGGGTTCCGAGAAAAGGATAAATGAAACACTGAAGTGTTTTGCGACGAGAGATTTACTTACCACATTTTTTGTCTTTTAAATATTTTATTATTTAATTACAAGCACTTGTGTCGTATAAATGCTTTTATATTGTATTAACTAATTAGAATTTAATTTCATCTGCATTAAAATAACTTGTTTGTTTACATCGTAAAAATAGTTCGTTATTACTGAATGAAAATTACGACGTAACTTCTTTTAGAGATGTGCCACAGATGTCGATGATTTATCGATGTTTCTATTGAATTATATTTAGAGCGTGTAAATGCAATCAGGCCAACAGCATACATATAAAATAGCAGAAAAACAAAAATCACACAAACATTTTACATATGTATGCCAATTAAAGGCATGCACAAATTTCGTTAGACGCATTTTTATTTATACAATTTTATACACTTCACTTTTATAATTTGGACTTCTTGATTGAAAACTTCATATAGTGTATCCCCATATTATGTTATTGATATTTTATTTTTCCGTATATCTAGAAACATAAAGTCAGATTAATCGTTGGCTCCGCTTTCAACAAACTAAAGGTTTGTTATACTATAGATAATGAATGTATTATGTACATATCCAATTTATTTATGTTATAAATTGTCGATACTTTTGATGTGTCCCTTCCCTAAGCTTTATTAGCATTGCCTGATGACAGCCAACTGGATGCTATAAAGCAGTTTATTGCAGTCTGCATTCAATTATTAATGTCTGACGGATTGGAGACACATTGGTGCAGTGGCCATGTAGGAATCTATTCCTAATTTATTTAGCTTTATTTATACTAATGGCAAAATTTATGCTAGGCAAAGTAATATTGACGTGTTATTTAATTACAAGTTTATGCAGCTGCTCTATTCCATGATAATTTTGTAGCCAAGCTGACCAATGACCATTAACCTTGTACTTTGCAACGATGTCTACACGATTAATCGTAATTATAGACGTCTTAACAAACAATATATTTATTTTTTTATTTTTCTATATAAACTCAAGTTACTCTCAAGCTACTCAAAGATTCATAGATAAAAATTAATAATTTAAATACTACAAACACAAAACCTGCAGCCAACCGTTTCTCTTAACTGGTTATAAAACGATCGACGAAAAAAAAAGTCGATGAAAAAAAAAAACAGATAAAAAAGTCAGTATTCGGTCAGTATTTTTTTATTTTGTTTAACAAAGATCTCTTTTTTGTTTTTTAATTTATAAAAAGAATTTTCTTCTGGAAGTTTCCATGAAGTGCCTGCGTCCGGCGATGATCCACTCGTAGTCGCCGTGCTTGGAGTCGAAGGTGCCTTGCTGCAGGGAAACCAGCTTGAGAGTGAAGCGAGGTCCGAGCTCACGCAGCTTTGCGCGTTTGCCGTCTGATGTAAATTCGTATCTGTAGATTTAAATAAATAAGGATAGGAAGTTAAAAATTTGGGTCTTGGTTTGGACATAAAAATAAATTTCGAGAATTAAGCAAAAGTTTTGCAGCTGCCAAACAAAAGTTTGAGATGACCCAATAGTAAAAAACAGCACAAGCGTCTAGATGAAATTTGGCACAAAGATATATTACAGTCTGAATCTGATATTGTGTAAGCTATTAGAATAAAGTGTTTTTTTTTATTTTACGACAACGAAGACGCATGAAAGAGCTTGTTTGTAAGGTAACCTGTGATGTCTGAAGAATATGTAGTCTCTCTGGTTGTGGAAGGTGACGACGCGCCGACCCTTGAACTGCGGCTCGTAATGGAACATCGCGCCCAACATGCGGCCCACAGTCAGACCCAGCCGCGTGCTAAAGTTGTTCAATATCACCTGCAATGAAGAGAGAAAAGAAACGTAAGACATTATAGATATAATATTGTTATAAGTGAAGACTTGTCATTGGCTCTCAGTTGTCTAGTCTATAGTTAATAAGATTATTATAGCTGTGAGTTTTCCATGTAAATAAATAAATAAGTAAAAATAAATAAATATATTCTTAATTAGTTTCAAAAGTAGTCAGTTAAATGGATAAACTCTCAAAACAGTTTGTCACCAAACAATCTAACTAATATTATAAATGCAAATGTTTAAATGGATTGATGTTTGTTTAAAGGTATCTCTGATTATGATGTTAGACACAGATGTAGAACATAGTCTAGAAGAACACACAGACTAATGATAAGTTTTTTTTAATTCTGCGTGAACAGTCGCGGACGTCATTAGTAGTGCATAAAAATTAAAAATGTTAAAGGTTGTGTAATTACCTCAGGCCTATGATTAGTGATTTCTTTATAGTCTTTTCTCAACTCCGGTGTGATCTTGCAGCTGGACAGTCTGAAGTGAGCAGTGGGTCCGCTGGGCAGGTGTATAAGCAGGAATCCATTTGGCTGCTTCTGATTCTCATTTACTATCACTACATCTGTGTAACTTTCTCTTATTGCTGATTGCACTATACGTTTTACTGAGGATCTAAGAAAATTACAATTTAATTTAAGTCACAAATTTATGGTTTTTATTATTTTTGGGGTCAGTGTTTGGGAAGACATATGTTTTTTTGGCCATTAACAAATATTACTTACCTCTGTCTATATCTAGATAAGGAATTTGGTATAATCCTCATAAGTTCTTTGCCAAATATCCTAGTCTTTGTGTGTGGGTTGTCTGAATATGTGATAAGAACTTTAGGCTCATATGCATTTTGAAAGTATGATGACATTTCGTCCAATTCCATGTCTTTTTGTGCCTGGAAGATATTAATAAGTTGTGCATTGTGTTAATAAAAAGGACATTTGTTTAAGTTAATGCCAGTTAAATAAGTATTCATTTATACACTGTTTTAAATTAGTTTTTATACCATTGAAATAAAGAAACTAATTCGAAGATAAATTTATTTGATAATTAAAAGTGATTGTGTTAAATTCTTTGTTACAAACCTCTTCCTTTTCCTCTTCATCGACATTAGCAAGCATTGTTTCATCTTTCTCTCGCAAACTTTCCAATGTATGCGGTACTTTCTTTGGAACATCATCTCCCTCTTGCTTCTTCTCCAATTTACGTCTGAAAGTTATTATAAAAATGTATATTATACTATACGACCCGAATGATGTTACATATTACGTTAAATTATAAATTAATGAACAGAAATAACTTTTATTATTTATTTTAAAATGAGTTTTATTTCAATACACATAATTATAGTTAAAGGAAATACAACACGTGATAACCTAAAACTTACTTCTTCTTATCCTTGCCGCGAGCCATTTTTACGATACGTTAGAAAATATAATAAGTGCTAATTGCAATGGTACTATTTTTGTACCTAATTATACCACAAATAACTCAAATTATTTTATTGAAATTATATACAAAACACACCAGGACCTTATGTTTATGACAGTGAAATTTGACTTGACGTTACCAAAACAACACAATGTTGCTGTTATTATAAGAATGTTGCCATTACATAGTCGTCATAAAAAAGGCACCTTCACAGTTGTCAACATAAACTGTCTCATAGTAAATATTTGAGGTCCCAAGTGCAGAGGTCGCTACTAGCGCGTGTCACACCAGCGTGAAAAATAAAGATTTTTATTTAAAGCCATTACACACTCGCTTTGACTACATGATCGATTACTGGTACTCCTTATACTATCAACCATTGGTTTCGAAACTATTACTTTTGGCCATTTCTTGCAAAATGAATGATGCAGTCTTGAATACTATTCAACAAATACACCCTCTCTTTTTTTATGGCCCATATACCAGATACTTTTTGATTAGCATACTATTTGCCTTGATTTAGTCTTAAATCTCCACAAATATTAAAAATATATAAATAAAACAACTAAATTAAGTTCTTTTTATATTTGAAAGTTAATCACAACGAATTAATTGCGTGTAAACATAGTACTGCATATTCTTCAGATCCGCGTAATCCCTCTGGACATGGTGTAGTTCCTTATGGGTTTCCGTTTTATTTGTAAGCAGCAGTTCTGTAAAAATGTTTACTTTCAATGACATCTAATAATTTACACTTTTTTCACAAAAACAATGTATTTTCTTAGTTTTGTAGTGAGTTCATATAACCGAAGACATGAAATCAATGTCCCAGGCAGTTTAAACCACTGTGATCTCTGTCTGACTTACAGAGCATGCACGGTGTTAATGCATTCTCATAGGATCGCAGACAAAGCCTTTAGAATATACCGAGGATCTATAATACTAGATAAGAAGTGTTAAGGAGATTTAATCACGAAAAATTGTTACATATATTATGAATATAAAATTAAAGACAAGCTTTATAAGTAAAAAAAGTTAATATTTATACTTACATGTTAAAATAAACCCAGTTTTTCCTAATCTTAATCTGGAATACTGTAGATAATCAACCTGGGGAAAATAAACTGACTTGAAGTTACATAATAAATAGCAAAAACATATTTTTTTTAAATTAAGATAAATCAGACGCGTTATGTTGGTCAACATGGTTTATTGGGTTCTCTCTGTTGAGGGAGACCTGATGGTCAAGTCATCATTTAAACTAAATAAATTAAAACTAATTTTGTTATATAATTATTGATGAACACTTACAATGATGGTTTTAAATATTTCCATTCCTTTTCTTGCTTCCACAAATTTGGCAATTTCTTGTGTCAAGAGGCCAAGACCAATTTAGGGTCATTGTTCTAGCGGAGTAAGTTTTTTTGCTCGCAAGCATTACCTAAAAATACAAGCCATAAATTTTAGTAACCTTCATACTAAAATTAAAAATTTGTCCAATGTGATAAATATAATCAGACACGTTATGTTGGTCAACATGGTTTAATGGGTTCTCTCTGTTGAGGGAGACCTGATGGTCAAGTCATCATTTAATAATTTTCAGTGAATTCTTACTCATTTTTAAGTTGCAGAAACTTATAATTAATTATCAATACATTTATATATTATCACATGGAGCAAAATTCATACATTATTGTTTTTAGCTGTAGTAATAAAGTTAAACCTTCATGCTGTTATATAAAATATTTTTAAAAGTAATATTTAAGTGCTTACAATAGTAATCTATAATTCTGTCTTTGTCTTGTCTCTACATTTCCTCCAGCATACCTAAAAAGATAAAGATCAGTTTAGTCATTTGGAACTTGAGTAGTTAAAGTTTATATTTGGCTGTAAATATAATCAGACGCGTTATGTTGGTCAACATGGTTTATTGGGTTCTCTCTGTTGAGGGAGACCTGATGGTCAAGTCATCATTTTATTTTTAATAAACTTCAATTTTTTTGAAAGTAATTTTTAAGCCCACTTTAGGAATTTTTTCAAAAAATAATTAATACAGATAAAATATTAGTACTATTTTTAATCTTTAACATCATCCTTATCTGTGGATCTTAAGATTTATGTAATTTAAGTTTCATATTGATAATACTGATATAAAACTATACTTACAATTTTATAAAGATATCAACGTTCACTTCAATATGTTGTTCCAAATCCTGGAAATGAAATATCTTTATAGACAGAAGAAATTGTATAAAAGATTATTATCTATATTAAATATAATCAGACGTGTTATGTTGGTCAACATGGTTTATTGGGTTCTCTCTGTTGAGGGAGACCTGATGGTCAAGTCATCATTTAATTCAATTTAAAAAAAATTACCGCTTAGTCCTAATATAAAAACTTATATATTATATCACCTCTTGGCTTTTCTTCTTGTGATTTATTTCTTTTTGCATCTATAACAATGGGAAATAAATATAATACCTAAACAATTATAGTATCAATTAACTTAGTAAAATACAATCAGACAGCGGAAACCGTTAATGTATTGTTCATCAAAAATATTCAGGTGAACTATGCAATCATCATTTAGTAAAATCGTAAAACCCGTTCAATGCTACCAAAAAGTCTTGTTACTTTCACAGTACAAAATCATAGCAGCATACAATGTGTTAATTTTAGTTATCAAAATGTTACATACCTTCAAGAAATGCCAGCATATCTGAAATAAAGAATAACAATTTTTAAATATAATTTACATTAAAATATGTTCATTTATTGTAAATAAATGGATTTATCAGTAAGGATAGTTATATTAACAGCATAATTGTTCAGATGTCCCTATCAGGAGTCATCATTTAAATACAAAATAATTAGTTTTCTCGTTAGATTAAAAAAAAAACTTTTATTTTAACCATCTTTTAGCAGTATATGTATGAAAAACTCACCTTTAATAGCCATGTTTGTAGAATCATTGCAAGTTTTATCTTCAACTGAAATAAAAATAACCGTTGCTTAGAAATGTAATATAAATCTTAATAAATGAAATATGAATAAAATAAATCAGTGTAGATAGTTATACTAACAGCATTGTGTTCAGATGTCCCTATCTGAAATCATCATATAAAAACCATACATTAAAAAAAAAACATAAAACATAAAGATCCTCACCATGCATATTTAAGCTGCATTCCAAAGACGTTTTGTGTTTTGTAAACCTGCAATATAAAAGAAACTTGTACTAAAATATATTTATAATAGCAAAAATGTTATATATTTTATATTTGAATCAGATAGGAGCGAAAGACATAATAGTAATGCATCATAGTAATCAGATGAACTATGAAGTCATCATTAAAAAAATCTATATTTTGATTTATTTATACAAGAGCAATAAAATAAAATAAATGTATTTAGTATTACTTCATAACAAAATAGACAAAAACTTACATTTTCCAATATTCAGATATGAAATCCTAAACTATTAGTTTCCTGTAACAAAACCAATGAACATTAAAATAACGGCCATAAAGTAATTAAATTGTGTTATATTAACTAATCCATCAGATAGGAGCGAAAGACATAATAGTAATGCATCATAGCAATCAGATGAACTATGAAATCATCATAAAAAATATTTAAAATAAAACATAGAATAACTTTGGACTTCATGCCTATCTTTTGTCTAGTATTACAACTCGGTGGACCCTTTGTGGAGAGCTAAAGCTGGTATGCACTCTACCACCCGTTATCAACCTACCCTTATCCCTGTGGAGTGTCGGCACAGTATGTCCATATATCTGTATCAGCCGTCATATCTGAATTCACCCCCTTTTTATGTAGATCCCTTTCACACAATCCATCAAATGTGCACTACCACTGTTAAAATCTATTCATGTTCTAACATTTCTAAGCTTCATGTCTCAGAAAATAAAAACTAAACAAAGGTTTTGTCTCATTTCAAAGACAATATCAAAATGCTTACCAAAAAGAATAGTTCATCAAGCTGGATAATCTGTAACAAAAGAAAATATTCATAAGTACCACAATATGTCAAAAAATATAAAAACATGTAAAAGATGATTCAGATTGCTCATTAGCAAAGTTTGCCATCAACCCTCACAATAAATGGCCCTATTCTACAAAAAAAAAGTAAAAAGTTACTGAATGTTACCAAAAGTTACTAATACCAACTTACATAATTAAAAAATGAAAAATTTGGAAAACCCTAAGCTAAATAAAACACTTATTGTGAGGTAAAAATTCAGCTGCACTGCGCTGTCATCATAAATACTAAAACTGTGCTTAGTATTTGCATGTAGAGCCATACAAACTTAAGGATAGTTCACAACAGATGTTTCACTAAGCACAATTTTTATTGGCAAGAAGTAAAGATATGCAGAAGTTGAAACTTACTTTTAGGTAATTTCACGGGATGTTCATCAACATTCATCCTGCAACAAAAGATACTGAAATTTGAGTACTGATTTTTGTTTAAAAATAAACATTTAAGATAAATACAAATGTAATCAGATAGAGCTAATATACATGCAAAATCATTATTATTTCAATGGTTAGCACTTTTCATCATTTAATAAAAAATTTTGATTAATGAAATTATTATGTGATCTTTATAGTCTGACCTGTTGTTGGTTTTCTATATTTTCCTTGGACAAATATGCGTGGCACATCAATGCCTTCTTTGAAGTTAACAGTTCTCCGTTGAATGTATGTGTTCATGACAATTTCAAAGCCTGCCTCCGTGAATAATGCAGATAGCTCCTCTTCCGTGAAGTAATAACTCCTGTATTAGATTTAATAATTAGGAACGAAAATGGAAGTTTATGAATGTAACATAATGCTAATCAATTGCATTATTAAACATTTACCTTGTGCCATCTTGCCGCATATAAAAGTTATCGGATATCTTATGCCCGGGTTTGAAGCGAAGCTGAGCCATGTCGTATCTACCATAATCTCTAAATAATAGCACGCCTCCAGGCCGTAACGCCCTAAATGCTACTTTTGCAACGTGCATCCATTTCTCGGGATGAATAGCAGACAATACAAAAATAAGACTCGCAATATCAATGCTGTTCTCGGTCACGTTGTCAAATAAATCATTTGTAGTTAAATCGGCACAGAATGCTTTAATTCGGTTTTCGTCATACAACTTATTTTGTTTTACAAATTCAACCGCACGTGGGGAGAAATCACATGCATAGAAGTAAAAGTTCGAAAAGCCTTCTTCAATAAGTGGAAATACCATATTTCCAACACCACAGCCAAGTTCTAAGTATGTAATACGCTCATCAGAATCAAAATTAATAAGTTCCTGAAACTCACGTGTTGTCCAATGCCGGTCTCGAAAGAATTTAGTTTCGTTTCTTTTATAAAAAATATCCCAGTGACGTTTAGCATCTTTCTCTAATTTGACCGCTTTAATTTCAGGAACGATACGTGAATTTTGATTTTCTAAGTTTTGTTGTTCTGCAGCTGACAACTCTTTCAAGCGGTGAACGAAACGGTCACCATTTGCGCCGACATGTTCGTCTTCATCCATCTCCATCGTTATATTTTCCGGATTTTATGGGTAATCAATACTATATTCCGATAAATAAGCTGTTATATAAACCTTTAGATTCTTTATTTTAATACGGAAAAATATTAAACATTTACTTCAATAATTGATCAACACTTTCCGTACACTTCTCCGTTGTAAGAATGGAAATGACAGAAAATCTACGTCGTTGATTGATTTTTGGATGTTTGACATTGACATAACGCATCAAAGATTAACGAATTTGAGAACGTATTTACAAAGATTAAATAAAGCACTTGTGTGTATTGGAACTTGGAACCATATTTATATACTCCCATATTTTATATACCATATTTTATATACTCTTTGCTTGGAACAATAAAGACTGTAACCTGAAGAGGTCGGCAGAGATTACGAAAACTTAATAAATTATGTAAATTACTTTCATAACTTCACACAAACTCCAAAAAATACAAAACACATGTAAAAAAAATCTTTAGATGATGACAAACAATGATTGAAGAGGTAGAAGTTGAGAAAAAGCATAAATTTCTTAAAAATATTTATTACTATTTTAATTAAAATAAAGTATAAAACACAAAATGTAAATGTGGAATTCTAATTGAGTTGTACATCTTGTCTGGCGAGTTCGAGCAACATGGGGTCGTCGAAGAACTTGTTGATAGAGACGTCCTCGCTAAGGCCCTTGCGTCGCCTCGTCTTGATCATAAACTCACGCGCCAGGTGCGTAGCCGGTTGCGGTTCTAGCGGTCTGCCACAAAGAAAATTTGTTCGTTTTGTATTTTACTGAGAGCAATATAGAATTACAATTCCAAGAAAGCTAAATAATCGTTATTGTAGACAATATATTGTAAGGTTTTTGTTTAATTTTCTGATGCAGATAAACACAAATATTTACCTTATAACGATGCTCTTATCTAGCGGGTCACCTGGCACGATCTGCCAATGGTGGAATGTTTGTAGGCAGAAGGCCTGGCCCTGAGTGTGCGTGCGCAAGTCCGTCTCGAAGCCGAACGAGTCAATGGCGGGCACGAATGCCTTTATGGTGTACAGCGGCGAGCCGGGCACTGGCGCATCTTGCGTCACGTGACCTGTACAAAGACAATGTTTTTTTAATATAAAATATCAAAATACAAAATGTCAAATATAATGATGAAACAAAGAGACAACTGTCAGTTCGTTTGTATGTACTGTACCTCTTCGTTTAGCAAGCACGGTGTACACGGCTGACACGCAGTCGGCGGGCGCCTGCACCTCTACAAAGAGGTAGGGCTCCATGAGGCGCGGCGTCGCCATCAGGAACGCTGAATATGCTACCTGGAGACCAAACAACACTTTTCAACAAACAGCGTATACAATGATCAAAATATATTGAATGTCATGTGTATATCGGCGTACTCGTCTAGCCGTAGGTATGATCTGTCCACCACCGCGATGCAGCGGCTCCTGTGCGATCACCGCGTCCAGGATCTTAAACTTGACGTTGCGGATCGGCTCCTCGCACAAGGGACCCTCGCGCGTACCCCATTGGAACCCTGGTCAGTAATAAGAGTTACATATATAACTAAACAATTTTAATTAATTTGCTATTTAAATTAAATGCGAAAAAAATACCTTGTACGATGGAGTCTTTGACGGAGGCGAGGAGATGTTTGTCAACCTCTGAGGGCAGCGTGTCATCCACCAGAATGTTGGGCCCCGTCGCGTCCGGTCCGAACGCCCATATAGAACGGGCAGCTAACAAATCCCAGTCGTATCTACACAAATATCATTTATTTTTATTTCACTGTTATACAAAATTTGCATTGTTGTGTAATGTATTACAATGTTATGTAATGTGTACAGACTTGTTCTGGAAGAACTCTCCAAGGCGCTTGCGGTCCCAGGTGACGCAAACGGCGCCCGCTTCTATATCCTCGGCCAGACCGCGTTCCAGCGGCTCCGCGATCATCGTTAGCTTGTTGCGTTTGTTGGGCGTCTCCGCGAAGCACTTCAGTGATGATGTCTCTACCACCGTCTCACAGAACGATACCACAGGGTCAGCGACTGTACACAATTAAAAAACAACATTAATAAAAAATCATAAAAGATAAAATTATACATTGTGTAAATAAAATTGCAAATTCGTGTAATGCGACTAAATACGATTTGCGAAAGTATGTGAAATTTCTCAGGCTTGGCAAAATTTTTGTATTGGAAAGATTTCTCTCACCCTTGATATCAATCTCGGAGTACATGTTGCGCAGGTCGTGCATGACGCAGTCCAGGTAGAGCTCGCCTGTGCCCAGCACCACGTGCTCGCCGCTCTCCTCCACGCGCGTCGACAGCAGCGGGTACGACTTGTTCACCTGACGCACATCATTATCATCACATACTTAATTAAGTGTCCGAGACTCGATTTGACAGTAATAAAAATTATAATGGCAGGTAATGTGTTAATTTTTTTTCTATTTTAAATAGCGTTTATTCTTACCTTCCTTAGTCCATCCAACATCTTTGGTAGTTCCGAGGGATTGACCGGCTCTACAGCGATCTTGACAACGGCGTGCGTGTTGAACCGCAGCGGGCGGAATGTGTGCAGCGTCTCCGTCTCCTCGGCGGCCACCAGCGTGCACGTTTTCACTATCGGCTGGTCGATGCCCTCGATCAGCGCCCAGCACCCAGCCGGCACGCGGTTCAGTTCCACCTTTAAACATAATATTCAAATAACATATCATATCACGAGGTATCTACATATGCCTGGTTTAGGTATCTATAGCTTAGTGCCTTTGCTTGCGACTGACCTTGTACCTAGCCTCATATATCCACAGCCGGCCGACGTTCATGAGGCGCGAGTCCTCCTCGTCCTGCGCGCTGTAGTTCTCGCCCAGCACGCGCACCGCCTGCCCCGCGTACAGCGTGCCCGACATTATGCGCGCCAATACCTACACACAACAAAAATTTACCCACGATTATCAACACCAGTAAGAACCTAAAATAAATTATTTCACTCGTTTTCACAAAGTCAAGGCAATTGTGCAATTTAAAAACATTTTTTTAAATATTTCTCCTAGTTTTTACTATTTTTTTTTCACTATGGCTAAATATTAGTAATAGTTTATTGTCAAGATAATCTGTTATGATATACTAACCAAGAAGAATGTGCAATCATCGGTAGGATACATCTTGGTGGTGTGAGCGACGAGGGGTCCACTCTGGTCACAGCCGAGCATGGAGTCACGCAGCGCGCCCTCGCTGCCGCGGTAGCAGTGCGCCACCTTGCGCTCTGCCGCGTCCAGCGGGGACGGGATGTGCCGGCATACCATCTCCACGAAACCACTACAATCACGTATACATTATGTCTCAAATAAGAACGTGCAACGTGTATCATATATATATTTTTTATGTTGAATATCTTACCTAAAATCACCAAAGAAGCGGCTGCAGACAAGTCTCAATAACGGACGGACATTGAGTTTAGATTCTTGCTTAGTTAACTTAATGCCTAACTCCGCAAGAACTGCTGGTAATGTGTCATCTACATCACCAACCACCTGAAATAAACATTCATATAAGTATATGTATATAAGTGTATTCATATAAGTATACAAGTGTATAACATAATATGTATGTACATAATCAAAAAGCTAATTATATAAAACAGAAAAAAAATGATTAGTCATGATTTAACTTCTACATACCTGTGCAAATATTTTATATAACGGCTCCAATATAAACTCAACAAAACTTCGTTGCGCGGATGCATGCGGTGACTTCTTGGTGAAGCGCCTTGTCTTGGCATTGAAGTAAACATCTCCCCATAGCCAGGCCGCCATATCTGATGCACGAAGTCCACTGGTCACGTGCGCGGAGGCGTACATCGCCGCGAATGATTCCAGAGTGAAGCATACGTCATATAAAGATGATGCAAAACAGACATTGCCTGGGAGGAGAGAAACAATGTTAGTTCATACATAACACATTCAGTGCTACTAAGAATAATATATAAAAGGAAATTTATCTTAAGGCATCATTTACAGCATAAAGTTGCTCTTTTCATTTTAAATTTTTCAGTTTTTAGTTACAGGTTAGCAAAGAGGATTTTATCAACAAAACACTTGATTTCTGAGCATACTTTACACATTTACCTAGTAGCGGTGAGAATATAGTTGGTGGTTCATCAGGGTTATCCTGTGGCTGGTTGGTTTCCACCAATGAGTTCAACTCATCAATGATATGCCGTAGTTTGTAGTAAGCATCCGCAGGGGGTAACTTCAGCTCAAGTATGAGACGGTCAATTTTATTGATGCATATTGTGAGTGGTACTCGTTCTTGTACTGCATGTCGTAAGAGACGTTCTGTGTTTAACATTATACCTTCCGCAGCATCAACAAATAATACAGCTCCTGTAAAAAATTATTAAAAGTTTTTCTTCATAATGAATACTCTGTAATTTGTCTATGTATTGTAAAAATATACCATGTATTTACTGAATTTTCTACAAATCTATTGAGGAACAATGTATAATCCAAACATATATCTTAAGACTGTAAATAAGATTCCTGATAGTTATCTTACTAATATTATAAATGCAAATGTTAAGATAGATGGATGAATGGATGTTGTTTGAAGTTATCTCCGGTGTGGCTCAGTGTATTTTGATGTAATTTGGCACAAATATAGAACATAGTCTGGAAGACACATTAACTACTGATTATGTTATTTTTTTATTCCGGTCAATCATAGTCATGGGCTACAGCTAGTGGTATACTCACCATCTGATATCCTCAATGCAGCAGTAACCTCATCACTGAAGTTCACATGTCCTGGAGTATCCATTATGTTCAGTAGATGTGATTTGCCTTTGATGTTCTTCAACAGGAGTGTGACAGGCATAGACTTAATAGATACACCTCTCTCTTGTTCCACAAACAATGTGTCAGTGTATCTCATGGGTATAGTTGTTTCATTATTTACTGTACCAGGATGGGTCTGTCTTATTAAACAGTCTACAAATGAAGTTTTGCCTGAAAAAATACAAAGAAGAGGTTAATAAGTATTGCAGTTCCTATTTATTAAGATAATAATGTTTTATTCAAGATTAAATTTCATAGATTAAAGAAACAAAAATTTCTACTTTACCATTATGCAAATGCCCCATCAAAGTAATATTCCTCATTAAATTAGTGTTATCCAGCATATCTGCCATGTACTCCATATCATATGTGGTCTCCGGCAGCTGCTGTTCTTGCACTTGGAACTTTTTCTGCTTCACTGGTTCTACTAGAGGCTTGTCTAAAGCTTGTGTATCCTCTTCTTGGACCACTGTCTCTACATCTGGCCCGTACACTTCCACAGCTTGTGGATAGTATCTACAAACATCGTATTTTAAAGTATTTTTCATTACATACATTCAATGTTAGGTACAACAAAAATTTAAAAGCCAAAAACGGACTTTACCTTTTGTCTTCATGTAAGACCACGGACATTGGAGCAGCTTCAGGTTCTGCATCACCCTCCTCGTCTTCATCCATCGCATCCTCGTCAGCATCACGATTATCCTGGCCATAAACACTCTGCTCCTCGTCTGAATCTGATTCCAAGTCAGGTCCGATGTAATTACCAAACTCATCATATAAGTCTCCGTCCATGTTTTTTTTAGTATAAATTAACCAAAGTAATCAAGTTTATAATCAATATCATATAAAAATTATATTTTCTAACCAAAGTTGACCAAAACAATTGAAACCTATGATGCCGGACAACCAGAGCGGAGTTTGAAAGATAACCTATGAAAATAATAACATCGGGTATGTGTGTTTTAAGCTATACAAGAGTTTCGTCGTGAACAGTAATTAATTAAAAGAAACTTTAATTAAATAAACATTTTTCTTTTCGGATAATAAAAGAAAAACAATGATTCAGGATTTAAAAAACACTTAAATATTTAGAAAACTGTGTTGATAGAAACGCAAAACTACAGAGTATAAATAAAATGACTTTTTGAATGTCAGATGAAGTGGTCTCTAAATCAATCTTTTTCAATACAAAAATGGCTGCAGTACAACAAAATTTATCAAAAATGATATCAGCACAGCTACGTAATAAAGCAACTGAGTTTTTGAACTCTAGAAAACATGCCAATAATGTTGCTGATATCTTACAAATGTTTGATGTAAGTATATGCTAAGTTTTATAGCGAGAATAAATTTTCTAAAATTGATGTCTTAGGTTACTTTTCTACATAATTGTTTAATTTGTGAAATTTCAGGCTGAATCTGATAATTACACGCCGCTTTTACTTACTATAGAAGTAATATTTACTGAACTACTAAAAAGGGGCGATTTGGTGCAAGAAATCATACCATTAAAACCTATAGGTATGTTGAACAACTATACAATTATGTCGATCTTAATAATATTGATTTTGCGCGCATAGCAGTCGTTGGTGACGCCTATATTTGCGACTTTACGTCACTACTGTCTAACATATGTTTGTTATCTGAAATTGTTATTTTGCGATTTGAATGCAGTCGCATTTTGTAACATGTGACATTCTTGCCTTATGTAAAAGCTGGCTTGCGTACGATTTGTTATTGCAGACTGTTATTACGGTATTGTTTGAACGAACTTTACATAATGTAGGTTTGCAAAATGGGAACAAAAGTAAATCACATTATTAGTATTATTTACTTTTTTCTCTAACTTGTTCATGTTAAAAGGCTGTCCCTACAATAAATCTTTAGTTTTATACAAACAGTACATGTTTTGGACAACACTTTTTTGTCCAATAACACACATCTGTATGTCTTAATAAAAGCATTGATTGAATTTAAGTAACTGCAAAGTTTAATTAACACAGCATTGTGGTCATGAAGTTAAACTTTTTGTGTAATTTTTTTTTATTTACGTTAAGACCACAGTCCGGAAGCAGAATACACAAGATGGTTGCGGGAATGTTACGAGGCGGCATTAGCAAGGTGCCTAGAGTGCGTGAAACGCGGCCGAGTCAGCTCCCGCCTGCAGGCTCTTGTTACTGCATGCAAGCTGCTGCAGGCTGAGGGGAGATATCCTTTAGAACCTACCAACGGGTTTTACTTCCCATCTGTGCGTTTGAAGGTAAGTTTTTGTGAGCAATATTTAAAGTAGTGTAATATTAAAAAATATTACTTTTTTATTTTTTTATAATGCATCATATTATTATTTTTAACATATTTTCAGAATATATTTACTGTGCTGTTGGACTCGGAGATATCAATGTCAGCACTCATAGCACGCTTCCAAGAGTTCACAGAGTATAAAGATGTGCAGCAGTATGGTCTCAAAGTGCTCTCCAGCATTGGTTATAAGAAGTAAGTAATCTTATAATCACAAAAATATAACACAATTAAAAATTTCAAATTAAATTATTTAATAAAATAAGTATTTAATTTTTACATGCACTATTTTTTGCGGTTGAGGCAAGTTAGATAATTTATAAAGTATGTATGCAAGATATCAACTCGATTGTATAGAAAAATATTAATTTTATTATTAATAGACTTATCAATAACTACATGTTTGATATTGTTAATGAAAATTGAAATATGTGTTTTTTTAGATCACCATCATCAATCTACATGCAGAATTACTTAGAGCTCTTGGACAAGCTGCTCGCTGTAGAGATCCCAACAGAGGCCAAGAATAAGGCCAAAGAGAGAGATGATGAGAAGGAGGACAAGGTGTTGTGCTCTGTTGAAGGTGATTATTATGTCTAACATTTGTACTATCTTACTAATATCATAAATGAGAATGTTTGGATGTATGGATGTTTATTCGAAAGTATCTGTATAATGGCTTAATAGATTTCAATTTGGCATAGATGTAGAAAGTTGTCTTGAAAAACACAAGCTACTAATTAATTGAATTTTGGATATTTTTTTTAATTTTTGTGTATACATTATTGCTAGGCAAGCCAAAGTTTGCATACCATCCAATGGTATGTCGGCGTCACGCAAACCGGTGCTGGGGCTTCGCATGCCAGTGGTCGTTGTGTGGGTCGCCGCGTGCACACCGCCGCGCCCTCCTGCTGCTGGTGGAGCGCCTCATGCCGCTGTTGTCTAAGCCACATCTAGCTACAGACATGCTGTGTGACAGTCTTGATGCGGGTATGTATTGTGTGATATTAACTTATAGAGAATCATTTGTTATGCCATTGATTAGCTCTGAGACCTATATGTCAGTTGAAATGTTGGTATCATTGGGTCAATGCTAAATAAAGCCGTAGAGCCAAAATTTTAACTCATCGGATTGACTGAAGAATTTTTTTTTTATCACCAATATGGAAGTTAGAAAAATGTCTGTAAAATTAGACCTAATTTTGGGTTCTAGCATATAAAGGTAATTGAGATTTGTTTTGAGTAATGCATGTTGTGTTTTATGCAGGAGGTTCAATCAGTATGCTGGCGCTGCAGGGAGTGCTGGAGCTGGTGCGGCGACACAACATATCCTACCCCGACCTCTACGACCGCCTCTACGCCATGTTCGAGCCGGAGATGTTCGCTACGCGCTACAAGCGTCGTCTGCTACATCTCGCTGATATATTCCTCAGCTCCACGTACGTTATCACCAATGTCATGAATAGAGTTACATCTCGTAATGCACAAACATTAGGGTCCTATATGAAAAAAATACAGAGGGTTACAATCTTTTTATCGGTATGTCTTAAGCTGTGCGTTCCGCCTTTAATCAGCTGAGCTAAATCGGAATACATTTTTCAAATTAGCGGTCAACGTTTAGGACTTTGACTAGAAGACACCTTAAATTGTGCTCTGCAAATATAATGCATTGCGTGTGTGCGACAGGCACTTACCGGAGGGTCTGGTGGCGGCGTTCGCTAAGCGCGTGTCGCGGTTGGCGCTGGTGGCGGCACCCGAGGATGCGCTGGCGCTGCTGCAGCTGCTAGCCAACCTGCTGCTGCGACATCCCGCGCTCAAACGCATGATTTGCTGCGATGACACACCCACGCCGCCCCTCAGTGAGTTACCAACAATACACGTAATATTGTAAACGAGCAAAAATTATTTTCTAAAAATTATCACAAACTCCCACCGAGTTAATTCGCAACTAAGAGAAGCTTAATGAATATGGATTATAATTAACGCATATTCCTAGTGTCTGGTGACCCGTACGTAATGGAGGAGACGAGCGCGATGGGTTCCCGTGCGCTGGGCTCCTCGTTGTGGGAGGTGAGCGCGCTGCGGCGGCACGCGGCGCCCGCACTTGCCCGTGCAGCCGCCGACGTGCTGGCTGCTGCTGACCAGCGCGCCCCGCCCACCGTGCTCGCGCCCCCAGACGCACAGGTAACGTATTCCTTATCAAGTTACAGACCAAGATTAATCTTTCTAGTTTTTCAAATTTCGTGTGTCTCTAAAAGTGTCCTATATTAACTCATGTTCGGATTTATAGATGTTTGATGCTGAACTAAAGAAGCGTTTCAAGACAATAGAAATGAACTTCATCCGGCCGCAGGGCATGGCGCTGCCGGCGGCAGACCGTCTCCAGCACTACTGGCAGCTCGCCGCGTGAACACGCCCCGCCCATCACAGGTGACGTCATCATACCATACATGTACCAGCGCTTCAGTTGGCACGTCCGACATACAAGTACTCTTCTACACGACGTGCCAACTTAACCGCAAGGTGCATTTGAGTTTACACGTTAAGCAGAAGAGAACTGTACCTGTCTATGGACAAAAATGACGAAAAAAGTTACATCTATTAAAACATGTAACTTTTTTCGTCAGATGAGTCAATATATAGTCACTCAAATGTTTTTAACCAATCTTTTAGTGTACAGTGAAAGTAATATTTGTTTTTTTTTTTTTATTTATAGTAAGAAACAATATTTTAAAATAAACGATGGTTGATTTTAGAATCATATAAAATTGAGTTTTGTATCAGTAAGAGAAAAAAAAAGTGAATGATCGACAGAAAATATTGATCATTTAATTTTGATATGAATTAATTACCTATGTAATTACGCCATGTCTAAAATTACGAGAACGTAAGAAAAAATAGAATCCTCTAAAAAGTTACCTACCAACAAAATTAGTTGAGGTTTATTATTTATTGATCGTTTAAAATTAAATAATTTTTAGTAACAATCAGTGCAAGGAATTAATTTTGTAATGGAAAATTTAATTACCACAAACAAATATAAACCAAACTTATATCTTTATATAACTAACAAACAGTGAACTAGAAGACAACTGTCTCCGCCTTATTGCAGAAAATAGATTAGCATTATTAATTTAAAATATACAACCTTTTTAAATTCTATCTTATTTTTAATCTAAAATCAAACATTGGGAGATAGTTTAATCTTTGGTTAGAAAAGATTACAACTTTTTTCTTTAATCTGTGGACTAAATATTAAAAAATTTGTAAAAAAGTTATGTTTAAAATAAATTTTGGTGAATTGGAGCCTAAACATTTTTGTATGTTTATTGTATTTATACTTCATATAAATTGGAGTTAATTTAAATAAAAAAAAAAACTAATTTATATCTATATAAAGTATTAAATTGAATACATTTTGCACTTTAATGTTAAAATAAATAGTTGTATAAGGTTTGTTGTAGTTTGGTTAATTTTATTTTTTTACGAAAGCCAGTGTAACAGTCTGTGATTCGAGGGTAAGAATTTCTTCGCTAAAATAAAACAGCATTGCTTCTCAAAAATTAACAACAATGCAAAATAAATATTATATTAATTTTATAAGATAAAATTAAATTTTAATCAAATTTCATCGAAATAACTGCACTTGCTAATTTAAGGTTAGGATTTTAATGGTGACGTAATACGTCATAATGTGACGTCCTGTCAAATGTTAATTTAAAAAAAAATGTCGATTTACAATAAATTTAATCTCCAGCTACAGTTTTATCAACAATACCAATGCTGCTTTAATTTAGCGAATAAAATTAATATAAAGGAATGAAATTTTGAAAGCGGTAATTGTAAAACTAAACGAGCTTTAGCGCTCATATTTTTTTTTATTTCGTTTTTAACTTTCTTTGTTTCATTCCAGTTTCGTTAGCTGACCCTTTTTAACCTGTACGTTGTAAGATTGTTTAAATTAAGATTTTTATTGTGTTTTACGTATTGTTGTCGTCGGTGACGTAGACAATGGTATTTTTGACAGCCGCCATGTTTATTTAACGTTATTATTGTGACCTCGCAGTTGAGGGTGCGGTAAATGGGAACTTCGAAATTAATTTCCATTGATACAGTTTTATGCGAATTAGTTTTCATTCTAAGAGAGTTTCTTTGATACAGTAGTATTTAATTAATTTAAATCGACTTATTTTATTATTTATTTAACGTTTGTTATAAACTTTGCAAGACTCTCTCAATTTATGGGCTCGAAATAAATAAGCACTATGTCTCAGGGAATAGTAAAGCTCAGCATTAAAGTAAAAATATTTTTTTCGTGAAAAAGCTCCTCAAAATTGTTATAATTTACTTTAGATTTTTGTACACAAAATATTATCACTTCTTGTTTGTACATTTTGATTGTTGGCAACTTAAATGCAATATGATTATATTTTATTTGTTTGAAAATTATAAATTTGTTTTTTTTATGTATAGTTTTGTTGTTTTGTCTAAATCCAAAAAAAAGATTACCATCCTTAAATTATATTGTATTTAAGTTTAATATTTATATTTAATACTTTATGATTGATAATTGAATATGGAATCTCAAAATGTACGAAAGTAGGAAGAACAGCCGCTGCCCCCCCCTGCCCCCGCCCCGCGCCCGCCGCATCAATGTGATTATTTTCAAACAAAACAATTTAATGTAAGATAGTTTTAAGATTATTTTAATATTATTATTCATTTGAATGTTCTATTATAAAATAAACGATATTGATTAATTTTGGTTATTTTATTGCACGAACAAATGCCGCACCTATAGTCAATAAATAGCTCTTTAGCGATTTCACTTTTAGTTTTTGGTAAAATATTAAAAATAAAACTAATATTAAAACAAGTTATAATCAATTTATTGCGATAACACTATGCTATACACGGGAAAAACTATCAGAATAATTTCATTTTTTTTGGCACATGGCAACACAATTTTAAGCTATATATGCACAAATTATAATAATAAATTCTTTAATAAATTATTCAAATAACATGTTTTTTTATCTCAATTTTTAATAAAATTCTAAAAAATAAAGAACAAAATATTACAAATTATAATTTATAAGTTTTCGCTACGGCTATATAAACGGCAAATTATTTAACGCTATATGTCATGTTACATTAAAATTGTTACGCGTAAAAAAGATCGATCAAACCAACAAAAGGTTACATGTCTTACCGTGGGTTTCTGAGGGCAAAATCTCTGTATAAAACCGTCAACCCTGTTATTATAATTAACAAAACGTAATATGTTTTAAACGGGATCTCAAAAACCCACGGTTAAGGATGCTAAAAGAAATGTCTTTTTGTTGACCGATTTACTTTTACTTTACGTATTTATTTTGAGCAAACTAAATAAAATATCTATACAAACATATTATACATCACTAAGAAACTAAAACAACATTTTTATGATATGTCTAATTCTAAATAAATTAAAACTTTGTTCTCAATCCCTGACTTCTACGAGCACACGCAAAAATAGCTATAAAAATATATGATTTTCTTCGCTACGTTAATAAATACCTAAATTTTTGTATTTTTTTCATTGCCCCTATTTATTGCAGCACATTTATTGTCACATGCCGAATTTTAAAAAAAATCAGACTAGATATAGAAAGCAGTCTCGCGATCATTACTAATATCCTCTATTTTTTTTAAACATAATTTGGGTTTTTTGGCAAGTATGTGACATTGAGTAATATAAAAAATCTCCAAGCGGTTGTCTTTATTGTGTAATTTTGAGCCTCATTGCATCCGCCACAAGCTGCAGCATATCATTGGTTCATAATCTGTTCCTGGCTGTCAGTGCTGGCAGACTTGTGTCCGTGGCAGCAGGTGATGTGCGGGCTGTTCTCCCGCGTCATCTCCCTGTCCTGACTCTCAGTCTTCTGACAGCACGACTGTCCCGGCTCCGGGACTGGCTCGCTCTGACTAGACTTGCAGCACTTCTCCTCGGGAGGCGGCTCCTGCTTCTTCTTGCAGCAGCCCTGACGTTCAGTTCTTAGTAACTGAACGTCTTCTACGCTAGGACTATCTTCTTTTTCGCTTTCTGTATGATGGCAGTGCGTTTGAGCGACGGCTTGGATCTTTTTAGCTCTGGCGACTTTGGAGGGGCACTTTTTGGCGCCGTAGTAGCAAGTCGCGTTGGCCAGCTCGTTGGAGGAGTCTTGGGAAGTGCTCGCCGGGAAGTAATGTGATGGCTGGATGCAGGTGCGCGTGCGGCAGATGAAGAAATCGGCTTCCGAATCTGTTGATGTGTTTAGCAGAGGCGGTGTTGTGTTATCAGCTGTAACAAATATTTACTTAAGAATACGTTTAAAATATCTAATAATCAATTAATTTCTTCTACATCTACACACTAACAACATTGTCTAAGTACGATATAAAGAAAATAAAAAGACCGTCATTTAACGGCTTGCACGTCTACGCGACCGACGGTAAAGAATTTATTCGTGCGTCGTATCGTTGTGCGACAAACAAAGCTGCTGAAAAATTAACAAAAAATAAATGTTAATTGCTGCAAAATCAAAAAAATAACTTCAAAACAAAATTAAAAACACGGTTAGATGCTAGAATCTTATCTAGTTAAAGATAGTTAAGTTTTTACAATGTCTAAAAGACATTGTTTTGTGTTTAATACAATAACAAATTACATAAAGTAGTTATTTGATTTGAAATGGTTCCATTGTAAAAATCAGTTAACAATATAACATTTGTAAGACAAATATAATTCAAATAACATATAATTAATACTATCACAATTACGAAAATGGAATAATTATAAAAATAAGTCAACATATTTTGTCGATTTAATACTGAATAAAATGAAAACATACTTGACGTGATACACAAAATGTCCTACAAAACACGAGTCAAACATAAAAGCAATATTATCTACAGTAACCTCAATAATCGTTGGTTTCCGAGACCAAAATCCCTTTATAAAACACCATCATCCCTCTCAATATCTTTAACAAAGCAGAGATAACAGTGTCTTATACAATGTTTTGGTCTCAGAAATCGACACTAAATGAGCTAGCGAAATAAGCTTTAAAAGCTAACTAGATGAAGATAGGATAATGATCTAGAGGGATAAAATAATAAATATGTAATGAAGGTGAGTTATAATGATGAATGCGGCAAATGTCCGGGGCATGTGTGGTGTGGTACTTGTGGGAGCGCGGCTCGACGGCGACCGCGGCGTACGTGTGGCGCAGCTCGAGCGCGTCCAGCTCCTTGCACAGCTTGCCCTCGCACACCTCCCAGCTGCACTTCTCGCGCTTGCACCGCTCTTGCCCACGCAAACCCAACGTTACTCATTTTTGTAAGGAACAAGCGCACGCGCGCTATTCGTATCCAGTACATTTAACACGTTACATGCCACTAAGTTGCGACATTGGTCGTGTTAAGTCTATGAAGGACTATGAAGAGGAGGAAAGAATAGGATTTGTTGGGACAGTTTTGATATCTTAGCTAATAAGATGCTGTAAGTCGACTCCTATAGCTTTGTGGAAACAATAATTTTCATATAAAAACATTTGTATGTGATGTGTATTGCTCACCGGTGTCATCGCACTCCGGGGTACAGATGACGACGCGCTTAGTGCGGAAACACTGCATCTGCAGCCGCGTCAACTTTGTGCCGAACAGGAAGTAACCTGAACACAAACAACATATGTTATAAAAATATTTCTTTCTTCTCCCATCTTGCTTTTCAACAAAAAACTGGCAACCTTTTTCACAATCAAACAAGCATATTAGTATTGTAATGTTACCCAGCATCATGCCGAACACGACGGCGAGCAGCAGATGTACGTTGTAGACCATCACTGCCAACATAAGCAGGTAGCCTACTGTGTTGTGCAGCACGAACACTGCAGACTGCTGCAGCGTCACCGCCACTCTGCAATAAACACACACAAATAATATTATATGACATCAAATTCCTGCGACCAAATGATTATGCCACACCGATAAAGCGGTAACGGTTTGTTTTCAATAGTCAGTAAAATAAACACGCAGCATAAACTAACCGGACTCGCAGCGAAGCCCAGCGGCTGACCTGACCTGTGCTGGCGTTGCGACTCGTCGTCGGCTCCATCGCGCCGCCCTGCTCCCTGCAACAACGACACATATAAACTACGGCATTTAGATTTACGCTATACCAAGTATGTACAATATCAAGTAGGCATATATTTACAACGCACCTGTCGCGATACATTTTCACATGAATCTGGATTACATTATTTACAATCTACGATACCAAAGATACTGATTACGAAAGTGAAACGTAATTAAACAGAGACATCACCGCATATATAAACATCATAGACAGATATCAAATTGTAATTACAGTTTTTTATAAGCTATGCTAAGCTATAAAATCTACCACGATATACTTATATTATACAGGAATAGCAATAAAATTTAAATTAGCAAAACATAACATACGCCACCGTCGACCCGCGACGATGCGTGAAAAGTGGATCCGCACACTTCGGTCTGGGAACAAACGCATAAATTACAGACCATATCCAGATTCAACTGTTAATTTACCATGGAAATAGTCCTTCTTCCTTCTTGGAAATATGTCTTACAAGTTGTTGCCCGCGACTCCATCCGCCAGAAATTAAAAAAAAATAGCAACCTATGTGTTTTTCCAGAGTATGTTCTAAATCTATGCCAAATTTCATCGTGATCCGTTCAACCGTTCTGGAGATACCGTCAAGCAAACATCCATCCATCCAAATATTCACACAATATCAGTAACAAGTAAGATTTATATGTGTTACTAAAACTGATTGGAGCAAAAGCCAACTAGCACTTAGGTAATTGTGGGTAGACCATTTACTTGTAGTAACAGTTTCTCACGGGCTTGTAATTGTAACTATGTCAATGTCACTCTGGTATGAGCGTTACACGCTCGCATTTTTTCATTATATCCGCCTTACATACTTAAAATGACTGTTTAGAATTTCGTTTCGGTACATTTATTATGTACTGTTTGCAAAACAGTGTCCGTAAATATCGTGTGGACTAACCTTAATGTATATCCTGGTGCTCTATACTGAAAATTACATATAATTAAACATTGTTCGTACTTGTTAAACTTAAAAACTAATGATTTTTTGAAATTAAACCACTATTGGAAGGCACCATCATCTAAGACATCCTAAATAACACAAAAAGGAAAAAATATATTTTGCTAACGGTACAAAATGATTCGAAATCATTTCAAGAGATAAAACGAGAATAGAACATAAAATAATCGTTCGCATTGTCAACTGCAAATGGATTGTGATCATTGGCATTTGTTCAATCAACTGTATAGAATTACTATGAAAGTTACTATAAATATATTAAATACCGGATCTAGAGACGGAAATTCCACTTTATTAGAATGCAAATACGGTACAAAGACATTACCATTGTTCTATTCACATTTAAAATAAATACATTGTAATTAAAATTAAACAGTTTATAGAACAATACAATTAACTAAGTTGAATAATAGATTGGTTTAAATTAAACATGCATCGTTTTCGGTGTATGCTTCGGTCTCTTCCACTGTTAACGACTACAAAAACATATGTTTTCCAAAGAGGATATTTCCAAATTGTAAGAGTCCCCTCCTCTGCTAAATCCCGGGGTTTTAGTAGCTTAATTATAATTTCATTTGAAAAAGAATTGTATAAACTATACCCGTTTAAGAGGATTAAAAAACGTATCAATGATTCTTTCTCTACAAGTGACCTCTTATCTGTAAATTTACATAATTTCCCGTGTACTAAATAATTAAATTGATACTTAAAAATAATCTAATCTATAATAATAACAATTTTACTATCAATAATATTTCTTTTTTTTATAACAGAAGGTGGCAAACGAGCAGCGGGAACACCGAGGTGTTCAACTACGTCCATGGACATCAGCAATACCAGAGGAATCGCAGATGCGTTGCCGGCCTTTAAGATGGTGATACGCTCGCTTCTTGAAGGACCCTAAGTCGTAGCGGTTTGGATATACCGCAGAGGACAGACCATTCCACAACGCTGCTGTCCCATGCAGGAAGTTTCGCGCAAACAGCACTGTTGTGGATTACCAGCCATCGAGATGGTGTGGATGGAACCTGGCGGTCTGTCGTTGCGTCCGATGACGGAACTCGGCGGCAAGAATTTTACAATAGAATAACAATAGTTATATCATGCCGAAGACAGGACGGCGTGGAGGCAGCTGGTCGACACGGCCGTTGAAGCGTACCAGGAAAAGCCCGACCTTCAGTAATGAAGAATACGAAGAAGAAGAAGAAGAAGTAATATCATGATAATTTTGATAATAAAAAAAAACATTCGTAAATGATATAAAACACTTTTTCCTAAACCTTAAAAATTGTCTTCCATCATTAATTAAGACAGCGGTCACGACGCTATTTTAGCGAAGCTTATAAATAATATTATAAATGTAAAACGTTTTGTTTAAAGTTAGTACGTTATTAAACGTTTTATTATAGTTGTTAACTTTATGAGCCTTGCTTTTCAATTTAATTCGATTCTGTCGATAAAGTTAATTACCATAGACGTTAAATTTCTTTTATGTTTCCGATCCTCATAACTTAATCTATTGAGAACACTAATACATTTTTATTTGATTAAAATGGTCTTCAATTGTTTTTTATTTCGCTAGTAACAATATAATAAATAGACACATTACTAATAATTTCTGGTTATACAATTAAAGCCTCTTCTTGTTCTCTACTCTATATAAATACTATATGAAAGACATAATCTAATTTCATTTAAGTAAACAACGAAAGGCGGCGGTATCACAACGGACATTTGTATGACATGGTATATAAAATATTATACGTAGCGTTGGGAAAAAAACTGACACAATGGTTACTTGTTCTAATTCAAGTGATGGCTTTGAACAGAGAATATCATTTGGTTATCTTCGAAAATTCACTTTAAATTAAATTCGCAACTAAATATAATTAAATTTACGTGCTCTGTACTATTTTTGGTCTATATTCTCATGACTAATTTTTAATCAATTAAAATCTATAGTTTATGGTATGGTTAAAGGCAACATAAGCAAACTGGAATAGGGAAGCTTCAGAATGTTACAATAAGTCGGGTATGCGTAGACAAGTTACAAAATGTCGGCATTCGCGATCTGTCGGTAACGAATACATAAAATACTTACCGATCACATAACAAGTTTCTCCTCTCATCAGACCTGTAGGGGTAGAGCTTCTTGTGACCCTCACGCTGCACCTTCGCGAGGTATACCTGCATACGATAAACATTGTAAAAATCCTGTCATAATCGATGGTTGAGTAAAATCGTTAAAACCGTAGCATTATTGATCAACAGTTTGCTCAATGTATTGGAAGACGAGAGTTAATACGCGTTATATTCGGCTAAGTACTCTTGTAATTCCACTTCAGTTGATGGTTGTTTTTTGTTTAATGGGGTAAAAGTGAGAAGTTGTATAATATACTATACCCTACCTTGGAACCTTCAAAGAGAAAGGCGACAAAGAACAGCACGATCCAGGTGAGGGCGAAAGCCCAGCGCGAGCTGACCTCCAGGCCGGGGAAGAGGAACTCGCCCAGATCGTACCCGAACCACATCCACATGTGCATCATGGTGCTGAGTGGTCATCAGATATCCTGCACAAGATATATAGGATTCAGGATTGGAACAAAGGAACAAACTAATGTATTGCGACTACTAAAAAAGGTCATATTTATTCTGAACAGGTTTCGATAAAGTTTAAACTTTCATATTTTAAAAAAGTGAAAGTCTTTTAGAAAAAATGTATAGGTTTAAAAACGTGACTTGATTAAAAAATCTATAAATGATTTCCTTTTTTATTTTGTCAAACGATAATAAGTGCTTCTAAACAATGAACAAAAAAAACACACGTGGATGTAAGCTTTAAGGGATGGCAGAGATGACAATTCTTAGTCGACACGATGTTCTCACTTCTCCAACAGTCTCTGTTCAGTTCTTTCTATGTCAAAATTCATCTAGAACGCCTTATTAGCACTTATTATTAAAATCAAAAAGATTCCATAGCCTCTTTGGTCTATATTGTTTTATGGTTAGTTTAGTAAACGTGCCCATAGTTTATAATAATATATTTGCAGTGAGATACGCGCAACCAAAACAGAGCATCGGTCTTGAAGCGCGTTGCGATAACTCTCCACATGATAAGACACAAACTGTGATTCAATTAAACCGCACAATCTATTTCAAACAAATAACAACTGAACTATTGTTTCCCGCGTGTTTACAATAATATGCCTTTACTTATTCAAAGATTTGACTCACATTGCACTGCACATATGAATGACTATTAAAAATAAACAAATTATCTCGTCTCTTTCTTATATAAGAGAACGGTCTTATTCAAGCGGTTTTATACTCTATTCGTTGGTACGACTTTTTTGTATGGAAAATTAGTACTTAAAATAGATTTTTTACGTACACGTATCATTTCTTCCAAGAACTAGATACTAAACTAAGGTGCGCTATCAACAGACCTTTGCCACCGAATAATTAAATGTCCTTTTGATGTTTCGTTTAATAGAATGTATTTGTATCGCATCAGAAACTGCCTTTTCATATAAAAAACAAGCGAACAGCAGCAAAATTAAGTCGAGGTATTATGAGAATTACAACAGAGTTATCCAAGAAAAAAATATTTCTGGCATTTAAAATTCCTATTTTTTACGCTTCGTTTCGCGGAAGCATATTTAAGAAAGCCGTCAGACAGAAAGTCGATCAAAAAGTAATCAACAACACGTAATCATGTAGTTTTTATGCTTAGCAAATTCCGTTCACTAAAGTAGGATTATATCCAATTATTTCTACCCCCGTGAAGCCGCAAATAAGATGGAGGGAGACAGACTATAAGTCATTGGCCGACCTTCCACTCTGCATTGTCGCTATAATTTACGACTCGGACATGCAAACGACGTATTGCAAACAAAATACAAAGTAACACTAGTGTAAGCTTTATTGTTGGACACTAGTATTATACAATTCAAACTTTATAACGGCTCGTTGTTAGCTGCATACGCATGTCTGCGAGGATAGGTATAGTATATATTTTTAAAAACATCTTGGCGGTTTGTAACATCGTATGAGTGTGCATAACACAAATTTAGTTGTAGCGGGGCGTAAAGGGATGCGAACGGAGGCGTAGTACGCAGGGCGTAGCTCATGGTCAACTGCCAAAGATTTTAAACACATTGAACTAGGTGTTCTCATTGTACTTAAAGATTGAAAGAAAATGCTGACATGGACGTGATCTGTCCCACATTCATTGGCAACCCAAAGATACGTAAAATTAACTTGTTTACAACATCTCGTGAATATTGCGAGCCAGCATAAAGTTTGGATCACAATATACATACATTGTTACAATAAGGGCTTTATAATATGTATATCAGTTGCTATGAAAAATACTATTTTGAACTTGTTAAATGACCTTATTGTGAGTTGATAGTGGGTGGGTTCGAAATTAATGTCCTTAACCATAAATAAATGTTATGACATTCATTTTTTTTTTCATTTGGTTGAGTATACTTGTGGTGCTCTAAAGAAATACATAAAAATATTTTTCTGTTACAATAAACTGTTTTCTTGCACAATCTTTTAATGTATAGTTCCTTATTTTCTGACAGATGCTGTTATTAATACACTATTTTGTAATTTTATAAAATCTATTTTTATGATAAATGAGTCTAGAAATATTTTTAAATTACTGTAACAAAGTCTGCCTCTGAAAGTGTACTACTAAGCTAAAAACATTGTGGGAAAGATAGTATAGGACTCTCTTCACTCACCCTGATAACACCTTACCTAATATTTGAGAAACTTGTGAATATATTAACAAAATAAAAGTGTTACAATTTAAAGATTAACAAACGTACATTCTAGGTTATCAATGATGCAAAATATTAATTTTGGCAGGAAATATAAGATGTCTGATAATGAGTAAAAAGTAAAAAAAATCACTTACCTTTTAAAACTATTTAAATCATCTTTTTTCTATAAATTTATTTCCTATTCACTAGATAAATTGGAATTCGATGGAAGCATCGTTATCAAGAAATAAATACATATAGTAAATAAACCTCAAATACTATGCCCTACTGATAGTGTACGATAAAAAGTAAAAAGCGCAGACACTGCAGTTCATTATCATTACCCACCACTATAGCAACCGTTTTAAATGGAAAGTTTTTTTATATATATACCAATTTAAATTATTTGTAAAGGCACTGAATTCTTTAGTGAAAAAAAGAAAACTAAAAAATATAACAGAGCTAAATCACTGTGAATAACTATGACAGCCTTGACAGAACTAAATTAAAATCTCCCTAAAACATATGACAATCTGACAGATAAAATTGGTGTTGTCAGCTATTTCCACTGTTTTGCCATTGAGTTGTCGTAAACTCTATTATAATATATCCCTTACAGAAAATCGAAAACTTTTTATAACCGCAATAACATCCCATATTCATGAGCCCGTAAATTAACAGACATCTGTTATGGTAAGACTTTAATGGTTATGTTACTCAATTTTAGAACAACAAAATAAATATCATGGTATAAATAAAATTTTATTAAATTCGGTCAATTTTCACTCAAATTAGGATCAATAATTGATAGTGCTGCTCCTACTAAATGTAAAGAGCCAGTAATTAAAACAGATTTGCTGTTACCGTTTTGTTTTATACACGATAAAGCATCAGAAACACATTCTAAAACGGTCACTTTACTACATTTGTCATTTCCTTGAAGTTGTTTCCAGGCTGCCTCATTTTTCTGGCATCTTGCAATTAAATCTCTGTATTCCATGATAGAATAATTGTCATTCTTATGACTGATTTCCCTAAATGCTGTCGGAATAACAAAATATACTGACTTAAAATTTATAAGCCTCAAAGGTGTCAGTAATACCTCCGCATCTCTATCACCAGTTGCGCTAAAAATTAAACTTTTGTCTTGATATCTGTAACAAAAAATAATGTCACCAGTTTAATAATTTTGATAAAAGTACCTAAAGCATCAAAAACAAGAGTAAATAGGTACACACTAAAGTAATCAATGGGTAAGTTTCTTTTTTTGTGGTGGCAACGGCAATTATCCTAATGACGTTGATTTTTAATATTTTGACAAAGACAAATTGAGGTTATATTAAATTTTTGTTTTGGGAATTATAGCATAGTGTAAATAATGAACGAAAATAATGTTAATAAGAAGAAAAAACCTACTAAAATCGAGGAAATGACCAAAGAGCAAATACGCGAGGCAATAATAAAAAAACGAGAATGTAATGCTAGAGCTCAACAAATTGTTGAAAGTTTACTCGAAAAAGATATCACACCAACTTATTTCTTGCAATGTTTACCAGAAATAAACCAATGTCATTTCGAGGATGTGGTAGAAGAGAGGTGCATCACACAGCTTTGTGGATATCCTTTATGTAATAGGCCTTTACTTGAAAAGGAGATTCCTAAACAGAAGTATAAAATATCAATAAAAACAAACAAAGTGTACGATATAACAGCCCGGAAAAGTTTTTGCAGCAACAGCTGTTTTAAATCTGCAATGCATGTAAAGAAACAGATGCTGACAAGTCCTTTGTGGTTTAGAGAATATGAAGAAATGCCAAAATTTCACCTTTTGCCTCTAGACACTGTAGGCAGTTTGGGCCTGGAAGTAGACCTTGGACAAGTCGAACGTGTAAAAGTGGAACCAGAGAGACAAACATTTATATCAATAAATGATTTCACTAATGCCAGCCTGAATGAAATGGATAACGATGACGAACAAACTAATTCTGACTTCCCCATTAAGGACGGTGAACTAAGCCGCACAGACGCTTATGCAAGTGATAATAAACTAAAAGTAATTAGTAGTAATGATAGTGGCAATAAAGTTATTATTGAAAATAAAACCCTGGATAAAAACATGGAACAAAACAAAGATGTAATTATCTCTGGCCAAAAACTTGATGTAGCCGCAAAACCGAAACCACAAAAAGTAAATCCTTTAAGTATAGTTGGTGAAATTGTTGAAAAGGCTGAAAAAAAAGTGGATCCTATAATAGTAAATCCACCAAGTGAAATTAAAAATACATCAATTAAAAAGCAACAACAAAGAAAGCAACCTTCAGTAACTAACCTAACAATTGATGTGGAAAAATGTTTATCTGAATGGCTTACTGTGGACAGCATGATCTTTTTATTTGGTGAGGAGAGAGTAAGAGAAATGGTGGCAGACAAAGGAGAATGTATCAAAGAATATTTAAATAATTATGCACAGAGTATATTCTACAATTCAAACACCTATGACCAATATCAAGCTTTATGTCGAAAACTAAACATGTTAGAGCTTGAAGACAGAAAATATGATGCTCAAACACTACAACGAGAGACAAAACCTTTGCCTGATTATTCAATATTACAAGAAGAAAGTAAAAAAATGCAGTTGAAAGTTAAAGCATATTTCTCCGGAGAATTTGAGGTTCCTGTATCCACTGAAAGCATTCCAGAAATTTCTCAAATAAATCCAACAGATAAAGAGAGTGCAATAACACAACTACCACTAGTTGATAGGAATGCACAGAATGCATTACGAAGAAAAATCGTATGTCAACATATTAACAAAGTACTTCCAGATATACTTCGTTCTCTAAACTTGTCAGCGCTGACCATTAGTTCAGATATACGCTTACTTGTAAATACATTCAAGTTAAAAGCAAATAACATCACATTCAAGCCTATCCAGTGGAATCTCATTGCTATAATCTTTATAAAGTTGCTATCTCTTAAAGACCGTAGACTTAATTACTTACTAGAGCAGCCAACTGCGTTTCAACATATGCAGTTATTGTTACTTAGTTATAAACAAGATGGTGGTTATTTGGACCGTTTGATATCATGGTTAACAGATGTTGATAGACTTTTAGATGTAAATGACACACAACTTACTATAGAATAAATTAAGTGTCATCATTACAAACATGGTTTATTTGATAAAAAATTAAATACATTAAATTATGAACTCATACATTATTTATAATTTAATGGACTACATTAAAGTTGACTGTTTTTTTTAAGTACTTATTTAATAGGTTATAAGAGTATATATTTAGAAAAAATATATATTAATTAATAAGTAATTCAAGTAACAGACAAACAAATTATTGTTACAGTCGTATAAGCAACATTACAAGTTTTATTTGAATTATTTTTTATTATATTGTGATATTATTCATAACTCATCTGTGCTTTTACAAGTTTTTAATAAAATACAGATAATATAAAGTTCTCTTTTTTTTTCTTAATAATACTTAATCTTAATCAGTATAAAAATTCTAAAGCAGTGAAGTTGTGAAGACTAATGAGTCAATGCCTAAGTTTAATAATAAAAATAGGAATGTTTGGATGTAAGGATGGATGTTTGTTAAAAGGTATGTACAGAATAGCTGCATGGATCTTGCTGAAATTTGGCTAACTAGTTAAAAATAAAAACCAGAAGCTCTTTACCTGTTATTGCCTTTAAACCACTCTGCGCATATTTCCATTGATTCTTTAGTATGAGCGCCATCTAGATAAAAAGTGGAGAACTCTGTTTCAATCACTTGGTATCTTCCTGGCCATTTACAAACGGATAATCCTTTTATAGTTTTATTAGGTAGTTTTGTTATTATACTATTAGCAATATCATTTTCTTTAGATAATTTTTCATTTATAGCACCATTGATTAAATTTGTATTAGTTAGTGAATTGGTTTTATTTTTACGCATCCAAGCATGTGCCAGTTGTATAGCTAAGGATGCATTCATACAATATGCTTCTATATTTACTGACAGTTGTAGTTTGAGGCCATTTTCAAATGTATACGATTTATAATCTGGAACTATATGCAATGAACACTGAAACAAAAAAATCTACCATTTTATACTGTTGAAAATGAGTAATTATTTGTAAGTTTTAAATAAAACTCAATAATCTTACATTAATATTTGGCTGAATATCTGTTTTTTGTTTTCTCTTTAGTTAACTAAAAAAAAACTTACCTTAACATTACTGGCAACTCTCTCTAGGACTTCCATAGCGTCTGTAGGTTGTTGAACAGTGTATGCATCACACCTTGTCTTCATAATGCCGGCCTTCGCCTCCGCGATCTCCGGTAGGGTTGTACCCAATATTGATGTGTGGTCAAGACCCAATGCTGTGATACCAACTACTGGAACTTTCCTATAAAAGCATTTTATTACATAGACTGCTCGAATTTTGAAGATTTCTTACTTAAAATTTCACTATATTATTGGCAATTTCAATCTTACTTCTTATTATTAAAAATGCGAATGGATGAATGGATGGATGTCAGAAGGTATATCCAGAACGGCTCGATGAATCTCACTAAAATTTGGCATAGATGTTGAACATAGTCTGGAAGAACATATCGGCTACTTATCAAGTTTTTTTTTAATTCCGCACGGACGGAGTCGGAGGCGACAGCTACTCAATACATTAAAATTTTCAAATGTTTGCTGTGTCATGCAATTTATTTAAGATCATGACATAGCAATAAAATCACAGTAGTGATGTGATATCTATAAATAATACTTAAATAAAATAACCTGAGTACATTAGTGTAGTCAACAACACCACCAATGCCGACCTCCACAATGGCAACATCAACCTTTTCCTTTAAAAACATGTTGTATGCTAACACAGTAAGGAATGCAAAGTACTTGGGCATATCACCTTCGTAACTCTGAAACAAACATGATAATTGGTAAATAACAGCAACATGTCACACATTTTCGTAAATTAATGTTAAAGCCAAATTTAGTAATTATGTAATCAAGTGAGCAAGTAGCTATACTTAACAAATTTAGAACCATGGATTGGAACAACTATTCACTTTCATATGAAAAAAACATAGAAGCATTTAATGTGTTAAGATGGTAGAAACATTTTATTGCTAATAGTTTAACTTCATTGTAAAAAATGTAATAAATATATTACCTGTGTAGCATGCAAGCGATCATAGACATCATGGAAGTGCTTTGAGAAAGTTTCTTTGTCAACTATGCAGCCATTGAGACGGATGCGCTCACGCACCGCCACCAAGTGCGGCGACGAGTAGAAGCCAGTCCTGTAGCCATGATGACGAAGCACTGACTCACACATTGCACTTGTTGAACCCTGAATACATACATATATGAAATAGATTTAACCCACCAAATGCCAATTTATAAAATCTTTTGAGAATGTAAAAATCAAGGAGAAAGCCCTTAATATATAGCTTAATACTTTTTAGTTCAAAAATATGAAAGCCAAGTCATACAAAACATAAAACACTGTGATGAAATACTTAATAAGGGACTGCCCTTATTTAGATTTAGAACACTCAAACCCAACATCCATGTACGTCTAGATCAGGTCAGGAGCGCATCAAAGGAGGTCTGTGTCTCTGCCTATATGGGGTTATGGATGGTGGTGTATAAAACACTTCCTAGTACAATTATATTATAACTTCTGTTTAGTACCAAATAAATTAATATGTTACCTTGCCTTTGGTGCCAGCAACATGTATAACAGAGAGCTCATCTAACATTCGTAAAGTCACACCAGTCCGTAACAAGTAATTTTCCATATCTTCTATGTTTGTACATTTCTGGAAGAATTAAATATATAGGAAATCACAAATGTCGCAATTCCACATCAACATTTCCTAGGTTTTTAGGAACGGGAAAATATTAAAATTAAAATTTGTTTTAGTTAAAAAACAGTCCAATAATTTTTGCAAATACTGATTGTGTGCAAGAGAAAATATATTGATTTTAAATATATTATCCTAAAACATGAATGAATAATTAACTGACCAAAAATATCTTTATTAGAAAATTTTAATGTAATTCATCTCTAACTTGAACAACTTTTGTTTATTTTTACTTACTTGGCCTAATTTTATATCTTTTCTTATTTGTTCTATAGTTGATTTATTTGATTGAAGGAAATTTAATTTCTTCACAGCCTCCTAAAACATAGAAAATAATATTGATCTATAAATAATTCAATATTTAACCCATTTTATGACAATATAATAATCTTTCAATTCAATAAATAGTTTAATGATTTTTTCATAGACCAGGAAGTTATTTTTTAAACGAGGAAGTGCTTTTAATAATTAATTTAATAAAGTCATTAAACTTAGGTATACTTGAGATTATAAGTCACTGTAATAAACTTTGATACACAACTAACCTCGTAAGAAAATTTACTGGAAGACATCCTAACTATAACTCTACTCACAAGTAAATAACGCCGTAAGCTGACAAAAGACATCAGCATACTACATGCGATTTAAATGATGTAGAAATCGTTCTTATTTGCAATTGTGGCAAAAAATGACCTTGACGCTTGTCCACGCGACCAAGCGAAATCATGTTTTCCTCATACTATAACTATATGAATATGAAGCACGTAACATCATCTATTATCAATCAATTTGCCCTCTGATCCCATGAATAGAGTAGCAGTACACCGAATATATCCAGTAATAATTGCTTATAATTTTAGTACTATATCTGTATACAAAATAAAATAACCCAAACATAACCTTAAAACAATTTGTTTGACAATCAGCTGTTTTTGAAAGTTTAAAAACTGTTTAAAAACATCAGGTAAACCACTACTTTCTTTTACAAAGGTATGGATCTCCTCTGCTTAATACGTTTTACGTACTTAATAGGGAATGCGTTTATAGGTAGGTCCTGGACATTAAGGAAAGTAACGAAATGTCCCTGTATCTTATAAGAAATAAACAAAAATACAATTAAGCTACGCAAGCCTTTATATTTTTAAAACTATAGCAAATTAAGAAACATGTCAAAGAAAACAAATCTGAAATCAGATTGAAATACTTTTTGTGTGTATTTATACTAAGTATTTTTCATTTGTTGAAAAAATGACTGAAACCGATGCAACGAAACTGCCTTTGCAAATACCAGACAAGTTTATACCTTATTTGGAGAAATACAGAATTTACAAGCTTTTTAAAGTAAGTCCCTGATTATTTCAAATAGCTAAAATTTATAATGTCGATTACATGAAAAGAATGCAGTTTTGTCTTTGTAACATTCAGGATATGGTACAAGACCTGGTGATCAACTTGCCCCAAGACCATTTAAAACATATGAAAGTATTTCTCAACCACCGTATACTTAGTGGGAAAGACGCTGACCGAGTCATTATTTTAGTTTCTCCTGAAGTAAATATCGGTAGGTGGAATTTACACAACAATGTAGTCTCAGTCTACATCCAAATTCAGATATTAATGAGTAATATATGAGATAAAATCGATTGAATTGGTACGAAAACATAAAATTTTTTGGGTGCACGTCATTGACCTTTTTTTAAATTGACTCTGAAATTACAGATATCAACATGATCGCCAAAGACTTAATAAAAGATTTAGGTTTCTTCGTTATCACACGGCGTTGCGTGATGGATCGTTACGAAAAGGTTGCTGTCGGTAAAAATTCGATTACGAAGCGATTTCGATATATCAATAAATCGATTTCTTCACGTTCACAGAGCGATAACTACGTGCCCGGCTGCATTTCCCCCGTGCGGATGGCAGAAGTTACCAAGTCTCTGACGATGACCAATCAGGTTTTGCAAAGTGGTTGGCTCATGTTCGGTAAAAAAATATGATTAACTATAACAATTGTGGTAATCCGATTTTTTTATGGTTTCGAAGAATTATTTTCTTTGAATACTATATTTTCCCCATATACAGTTAATAATGTCAGATTTCAAAATTTATTCTCTGTATAAGACCACCCGTGTACGCTGCGCGAGGCGCGCTGCCTGCAGCAGCTGGGCGTGCTACCGACGATGACGTTGGTGCTGACTCCGCCGCCCCCGCACGCTCCCCTTACCGACCATCCCCACACCGCAAGACGATCATTTTTCGATCAGGACTTCGAGGCACTCAAGTTCGCCTACAAGGCTACCTTGAAGGTTGACATACTCTTACACATCCAATATCTTTGAAGAAAAAGATTTCTTTCTTCAACGCAGCGAGTAATTTTGTGTTTTTAAACATTTATAAGCGACGGCTATGAAAGACGTTAAGCATTTATGCTATGCTCGTCTATACGTTTAAAAGTTATCATGGAACAAAGTTTAGCACTCACGGAGAGGCTAAAAAACGCAAAACATGTCAAAACATGTCATGTCTTTACCTCTTGTCTTAATTCAATGAAAATTAATAAATTAAAAATGGCCGCTTGTTTCTTTCTAATCGAATTATATTTACAGGAGATATACGTGAACCCAGGTGAGGACGCAAAGTGTATAGAGATGAAGTGCGTGCGGGGAATACGCGCAGCGGCTGCGGGTGCGCACGCGGGCGCGCGCTCTTTGGCCACGGTTGGCGCGCCGGGTAACTACCGCGTGTTGCTGCTGGGTCCGCGCGGCTGCGGCCGCCGCCTGCACGCCGAGACACTCTCCGACCGCTTCGGACTAGTACATTGTTCGTATCTAAATTATACAAAGAATATTTTTCGCCCGTTCAATAAGAATATGTTAGATTATTTTGTTATATTTTATTATAAATTCGCCAATGTTTACGCCAAATTACGTCTTTCTCTCAGTGCATTTCAAAGATCTCTATAACGAGGCTAAGGAAGGCGATGACGAGATTGGTGAGAAGCTGCGTAACTTCGGCCTCAGCACACGGCTCAGGGCCGACATTGTGAGGCGACGTCTGGCTAAAAAGGTGCTAGCTATGATAATGAATTTATCTTATTTTCGCTGTTTAGATCAGTAAGATTGAGCTGAAACAATTTAAGAGTTTAAGTTACAATTTGATACGTCATTGTAGAGGTAATCGCAGAGTATGTTTGTACATAATTTGTAGGTATTTTCCAGTATCCAGCTTGTCGGACTTTGATGTACGAGTTTTCGAATTTCGAATGCGTACTGGCTGAGTCAGGCGCCTTATAGTTTTAAGTAATTACTGGTGGTGTTGATTACTAGTTATTATAGGATTGCATCGATAATGGCTGGGTCCTCACCGGCTTTCCCACTTGTGGCGCTGATTTTGAAAACTTGGACAACATGCCCACGCCACCGAATAGGTATGTAATTATGACTTTAGTATTGTTTTTTGCTATTGACATCTATCTATTTATCTATCGAGTTATATTATAATTCGATTTAGAAAGAATAGAAAGTGATCGGACCTAGGGCACAGTGAAGCTGGCACAACTTTCAGAGCTGAGATACACTTTCTAAGTGAAAGGCGACTAGCACAATTGTTCGAAACTCTCGTTACGATCAATTAAATGGGTCTAGTTTATTGATCTGTTTAAATAATATTGCTAACAAATGCTATATGGAAATTTTCTAAAGACGTAAACTTGCTGTAATGATTTTGGATGATCCTGACAAGTTTATGCTTACTAAACGAGACCCTTAATGTAGAATTTGTATGTAAAATATACACTAAGAGGCTGATTAAGTAATTATTACAATTCTTAGTTGTATAGTAAATAAGAACTATTCGATTTATTAGGATAATATTCCTGAACGCGGATTGGCAGACGTGTAAGACGCGCGTGCTGTCTCGCGGCGTGGATTGGTGCAGCGGCCAGTCCGCGCCGCTCGGCTCCGGCCCGCGCGTGCTCGTGCACCCTGAAGACGACGAGGCCGCACTGGACGCAGAGGTACTGATAAATTATTTGAAATATGCCTCTTTATAGATGCTGTCAATGAAAGTATTGGCGTATATAGCATTAAAAATAAACCAGGTATCAAACTCTACGTCAAAAAAATAGTAGCACTTGAAATCCTTTTGTGCCAACACTACTATAAGGAGGGAAAAAGAAACTCATGTTTTATGTCAGAACACAATCACAGATGTTCAATTTGATGACAAAATGTTAAAAAAACGGTAAAATGCGTGTAATTCGATGTAAGAATTCTAAACTCGTGCCACAGTAACCTCAAAACCTATATACAAACTTTTGTACTACAACCCATTGTTCTTGAATGTGTTCAGTTTAGGTACGCGGCGCACGGATGTAACGGTAATTAAAAAGTAAATGCTTTAATCATTTTTTTTTGAGTTGCAGTAAATTTGAGAATTAAAATTAGAATCAATAAAATTCTTCTTTACTGAATTATTGTATTGTTTTGGAACATATTTTTAATAATTGTGAAGTTAGAGGAAGATCTCTTATTGAATCGTCATACTTTATCGGCCGCTATCAGATTTAGTTAAATGTTTTTTTCAGTTGGACACGTATTTCACTGAGACCGTGGCAGAACTGCGCGCAGCTGCTGGTATCAACGCAGAAGAAGTGGACGCATGCAAACCAATCGGTAAATTATATTTGAAGTAGATGAAAGAAGCATATATTATATACTAATTTGACACACACTTCACTAACGCAGGATCGTAGCAATCACGAAATACTTTCGAATAATTATTTTTGTAATAAAGGGTTATATGTATTTTAAACCCAATAAACTTAAGGGATGAGTATATTGAAATAAATTGTAATGCAAGAAAGGGACAACATTGTAAACCAATAGCAGCAAAAATAGATGGTTGCCATGGTAATGGTAATTCTCAGCCAATGGCAAAGGCTTTTGTTGTCATTTGAATTCATGATACCTCCATATTTGCAATTGAAAGTTTTTACACAATGTAAACAATAAAACAAAGTTTTTATGTAACATAAATGAATGGCGCACGGGAGTCTTAAGTATAATTATCCGACACTTACGACAAAACTGTACTTGATAAGAATTATGGAACAGTAAGTTGACTTAACTGTACAAGTAGGCAACTAATTTCCGAAACGCCAGTGACTCATACTTAGTAAAGCAAGTGAAGTCAAACCTAAGTCGCTCGGTCAATGACCTACATAATCTCTAGGCTAGAACCTAAGCGGTAAACCAAATTGACATAACACTATTATCGCTTCTTAGAGAGTGCTAACAAGATGATTGATAACATTATATTACCGTTAGATGGGTCTTGTTTTAGATTCCGCTCTTCGTTTCCCCCTTTCTGTTATAAAAAAAAAACGAAAACGAAAAAATCGATATTGCGACTAATTCCGGTATGGTGGTTCTCTTAAGCAGATTGTTTTTTTTTTTTAATTTTGTTTTAATTCTAGATCAAGTACAGGTAGAAATCCAGGCAGCGATCATGGCGGCGCCCGCCTTCAACATGGAGTTCGGCTCGCAGTTGAGCAATAACGTGCGCGGCGACTAGTCTCGAGTATTTTCAATAATTGGGATTAAATAAAAACCAAGTTTAGTCTTATTAAAAATCTTTTATTTATGTACTCCTCCGTACTTCAAAATTATTAAATTACTACATAATTAATTACGAGCTAACAATTTATTCAGCAGTCTCAAAACAATTATACAGTATAGAACACAGAGGTAGGTCACCGAGAATTAGCAGACATACGTAGGGTTGTGCAAACACAACAGACGGGACCCAATCGAGAGAAAAATCTCACACTATTGGCATTATACTAAAAATAAAAAATGCAACATTTTATACAGCCACGACACATTCATACAGCCATGCACACG